CACTTTCCGTCGGATGGTTTGCCTCCGCACCACCATCACAACCACCCCCACCACCATCACCACCTTCACCACCAGGGAGTGAACTGCGGACAGCCAGGGGGTGCCGGCGGTGCCGTGCCCGGTTTCCCCGGCGTGGTGCTCAACCACAGCTGCAGCGGCGGCAACCTCCTGTCCTTCAGTGCGTCGGTGACGGCCATCTCTGCGCCGCCCCATAACCCCGCGGGGTCCGCCGGGAGCCCGCTGACCCTCAATTCGGTGCCGCTGGGGACCCAGGTGTTTGGCGGGGAGGGGGGGCCCGGCGGGGGCTCTGAGCCGTGCCCGTGCCGGCTGAAGGCGCTGATCGTCTGCCAGGGCTGCGGCGCGTTCTGCCACGACGATTGCATCGGGCCGTCGAAGCTGTGCGTTGCCTGCCTCATGGTCAGATGACACGCGCTGCGCTCGCCTCCTGCGAGCCCCCCCGGCCCCCCCGGCCCCGCCGCCACATTTATTTTCTAAGCCCCCCCCCCGGTCGTTGTTTTGTTCGTCCCGTCACTCTTGCCTCATGGACCCGAGCGGAGAAGAAGATAACTTATTTTTTACGTTTTCACTGCACATGGTTTTTAACATTGTATTTTTTAAGACACTATAATAATATCCAGCCTCGTAAGGTTATATAAAAAGAAAATGTATAATAAATAATGACGGACTGGTAAAGCAGTGAGGAGATCAAAAAGATTAAACTATTTAAGCTTTAAGACAAAGCCTAACCTTTCCATGTCGTGCGAGCTGCGGAAATAAAGAGCTTAGTGTGAGACTCACTCCGCTGTGGCGCCGTGCGTGGATGGGACGGAGGAGGAGAAGCCAACCCAAGACGGTACGGACGTGGAGCGCTACGCGCAAGTTGGTCGTAGCACCAATTGCCCAGTAGGTGTCCCTGCTGCTACAGCTGATCAAAGGGTTCCTCGTGAGAAGCCTTTCCAGCCCCGAGGCCGCAATGTCTTCATCGGTGTCCCCGTGTCTCCCCCACTGTGCCCCTGTCTCCCAAGGCTTTAATGTCTCCCCCAAGCCTTTCTTGTCTACCCCATTTCTTATGTATCTCCACCAGTGTTCCCGTGTCTGCCCCAGTGTTCCTGTCTCTCCCAGAGTCCCTTTGAATCTCTCAGTGCCCCCCCCACCCCCTTTCTCTCATACTCCGTGTGTCTACTCGAGTCCCCATGTCTCTCTCAGAGACCGTGTCTCCCCCTGGGCCTCGGAGATCTCGTTTTGGTGATGAGCATCTACGACTGAGCGAGGCCCGACACGATGCACATTGATAATCTGGAAACATTGCAGACACGAACACATGTTCCATAGTCATTACCATGCAGATGTGTACACCTGTAGTACATACATGCTTGTTAAATACCATGTAAACCTACAACACAATCGTACGGCAGAAGTCACACTACCGCACACGCCACCTCTGTACGTACAACACACAAGCCAGGGTGGAGTGGTGGCACAGCAGTTGGAGTACTGCGCCATGAACCTGATGGCCCAAGTTAGATTCCCGACCACGGCCAACTTCCAGTCACAAGTGAAACGCTCGATCTGCATTGGCAGGCCTGATGAAGTACGGTCCAACAACCCTACAACCAATACGGCATAGAGAGGCCACCATCCAGCAGTGGATTGAAAAAAGGTTTTAATTTATGGTAACATTGTCACTTGATCAGAGATGATGGTGCCAGTGTCACGTGATCAGAGGTGATGGTGCCAGTGTCACATGATCAGAGATGATGGTGCCGGTGTCACGTGATCAGAGATGATGGTGCCAGTGTCACATGATCAGAGATGATGGTGCCGGTGTCACGTGATCAGAGATGATGGTGCCAGTGTCACATGATCAGAGATGATGGTGCCGGTGTCACGTGATCAGAGGTGATGGTGCCGGTGTCACTTGATCAGAGATGATGGTGCCAGTGTCACGTGATCAGAGATGATGGTGCCAGTGTCACATGATCAGAGGTGATGGTGCCAGTGTCACGTGATCAGAGATGATGGTGCCAGTGTCACTTGATCAGAGATGATGGTGCCAGTGTCACGTGATAAGAGATGATGGTGCCAGTGTCACTTGATCAGAGATGATGGTGCCAGTGTCACATGATCAGAGATGATGGTGCCAGTGTCACGTGATCAGAGATGATGGTGCCAGTGTCACATGATCAGAGGTGATGGTGCCAGTGTCACGTGATCAGAGATGATGGTGCAGTGTCACTTGATCAGAGATGGTGCAGTGTCACTTGATCAGAGGTGATGGTGCCAGTGTTACTTGATCAGAGATGATGGTGCCAGTGTCACGTGATCAGAGATGATGGTGCCAGTGTCACGTGATCAGAGATGATGGTGCCAGTGTCACGTGATCAGAGATTATGGTGCCGGTGTCACGTGATCAGAGATGATAGTGCCAGTGTCACGTGATCAGAGATGATGGTGCCAGTGTCACTTAATCAGAGATGATGGTGCCAGTGTCACTTGATCAGAGATGATGGTGCCAGTGTCACGTGATCAGAGATGATGGTGCCGGTGTCACGTGATCAGAGATGATGGTGCCGGTGTCACTTGATCAGAGATGATGGTGCCGGTGTCACGTGATCAGAGATGATGGTGCCAGTGGCACGTGATCAGAGATGACGGTGCCAGTGTCACGTGATCAGAGATGATGGTGACATCACTTGATCAGAGATGATGGTGCGTGTCACGTGATCAGAGATGATGGTGCCGGTGTCACGTGATCAGAGATGATGGTGCCGGTGTCACGTGATCAGAGATGATGGTGCCAGTGTCACGTGATCAGAGATGATGGTGCCGGTGTCACGTGATCAGAGATGATGGTGCCAGTGTCACGTGATCAGAGATGATGGTGCCGGTGTCACGTGATCAGAGATGATGGTGCCGGTGTCACGTGATCAGAGATGATAGTGCCAGTGTCACGTGATCAGAGATGATGGTGCCATTGTCACTTGATCAGAGATGATGGTGCCAGTGTCACGTGATCAGAGATGATGGTGCCAGTGTCACGTGATCAGAGATGATGGTGCCGGTGTCACGTGATCAGAGATGATGGTGCCGGTGGCACGTGATCAGAGATGATGGTGCCGGTGGCACGTGATCAGAGATGATGGTGCCAGTGTCACGTGATCAGAGATGATGGTGACATCACGTGACCAGAGATGATGGTGACATCACTTGATCAGAGATGATGGTGCGTGTCACGTGATCAGAGATGATGGTGCCGGTGTCACGTGATCAGAGATGATGGTGCCAGTGTCACGTGATCAGAGATGATGGTGCCAGTGTCACGTGATCAGAGATGATGGTGCCAGTGTCACGTGATCAGAGATGATGGTGCCAGTGTCACGTGATCAGAGATGATGGTGACATCACTTGATCAGAGATGATGGTGCCAGTGTCACGTGATCAGAGATGATGGTGCCAGTGTCACGTGATCAGAGATGATGGTGCCGGTGTCACGTGATCAGAGATGATGGTGCCAGTGTCACGTGATCAGAGATGATGGTGCCGGTGTCACGTGATCAGAGATGATCGCCACTAGAGGAGACGAAGGCGGCCGTGCGTGTCGCTGGCCACCCCCGCCCCCTCGTGTGCCGTGCCGGCCTACATTGGTTCTCCCCGAACAGCACTTGCCCCCACAGTCTGGTTCAAGCTATACGGGGGAGGGCAGGGGGGGTGATTTTTCGCGACTGTCACCAACATCGTGACGTTATGCGTCCGATCTCGGAAGCTCGGCAGAGTCGAGGCAGGATGTTGGTCACGTGGGTGGGCCAGCAGGCACGGGCAGGTTGCTGGACGTGGCAGCTGAGGTTCGCGCCAGCGAGGTCACACCGCGTGCTCAATGCGGGGTGACCCTCATCCAGCAGTGGATTGAAAATGGCGACGTAGAAAGTGGTGAGCCAGTTGGGGCAAGGACCCGTTAACCCCCCCACCTCACGCACCTCCCCTCCCTCCCCTCCCACCTCCCCCTCCCCTCCCACCTCCCCCTCCCCTCCCACCTCTCCACCCACCTCTGCCCGACCCCCCCCCCACCTTTTCTTCGCCCCCCCTCTTCCCCACACCCCCCCCCTCACTTTTTCTTCGCCCCCCCTTCCCCCCCCTCTTCCCCCCCCTCTTCCCCCCCCTCTTCCCCCCCCACCGTCCCCTCCCCCGCGTCCCGGCCCACCCGCCCGTACCGCCGGCGATCCGGGGTGGAGAAGGGAGTGGGCTCAGCGAAGACAAGAGGGGGGAGGGGGGCGAGGGGAGGGGCAGAGTGGGGGGGGGGCGAATGGTGGTGACGTCACCTCTAATAGGGAACGCGCAGGAGGCGGCGGCGGCGAGGGAGGGAGGGAGGGGAGGGGCGCGGGGGCTGTGGGGGTCTCGGGGATCACGCGGCAAGAAGCGGAGACCCCCCGCGCCATCCCCGATTTGGGGATCGCGAGGAGCAGGGGGAGCAGGGAGCGTCCATCCTGTAACGAGGAGAGAAGGGAGAGAGCGGAAACGCACCCATTTCTCATCTCTCATTCACGTACGCGCCTCGCTCCGGATCCTGAATCAACGGCGTCTTCCTGGAGCCAGATCATCTCACTGGAGCCAGGGCATCTTCCTGGAGCCAGGGCATCTTCCTGGAACAAGATCATCTTCCTGGAGCCAGATCATCTCACTGGAGCCAGGGCATCTCCCTGGAGCCAGGGCATCTTCCTGGAGCAAGATCATCTTCCTGGAGCCAGGGCATCTCCCTGGAGCCAGGGCATCTCCCTGGAGCCAGGGCATCTCCCTGGAGCCAGGGCATCTCCCTGGAGCCAGGGCATCTCCCTGGAGCCAGGGCATCTCCCTGGAGCCAGGGCATCTTCCTGGAGGCAGGGCATCTCCCTGGAGCCAGGGCATCTCCCTGGAGCCAGGGCATCTTCCTGGAGCCAGGGCATCTCCCTGGAGCCAGGGCATCTCCCTGGAGCCAGGGCATCTTTGCGAATCCCGGAACTGCCGGAGCCCCTGGCGCTTCTCGCTGGAGCCACCTTCCTTGTCGCCTCGCCACCCCAAGGGGTCCGCTATGCCGAAGGGGGAGCGGAGATCCCGGGCCCCGTAGCCCCAGGGGTCCCACTCATCTCAGGAGAGAGACACAGGTACGGTGACACGGGGGTAGATAATAATCAGAATATTTTTATATATACTGGAGGAATCCGATGAGCTGTAAAGCTCTTTTTCACAGATGTTCAGTAGGGGATACCGCGGAGATGAAGACGCTGCATGTGGGACGGCATAGGCTATTCGATTAAATCAGTAATCGATTACTCTACCGATGATTTTCGGTTCTGTTCCTCGACGAATTGGATATCTCGAACATTGTTTGGAGAGATGGGAAAAAAACGTATCACATGTGTTTCCATGTGTGCCGCTGGACGGGAGGTTGTGGGCAGGCCTAATCGGTCACGTCCGGCAGGGCACGGGGGTTTCCCCGCCTTCAGAATGTCGGGGCTGGCGTCATCCCTAACGAGGCCCCCAGCTATCCGCCCACAACAACGATGACTGGGACAGCGGCGACAATCAGCTCCAATCGCTGTCCCAATCGCCGACTTCATGGACCATCAGTCGCCCCAGCAGCGCACGTGGGCCAGGGGGGGTGGAGGGGGTGCAAGTGCCATGGGCCCTCCCAGTTCACATGGGTCGTTTGGCCAACGTTGGTCCAGCCACATGCCAAAGTTGGCTCAACGTTGGGCCTACGGTTCCAACCACATGCCAACGTTGGGACCACGGATCCAACCACAAGCCAACGTTGACTCAACGTTGGGACTACGGTTCCAACCACATGGCGTTAGCTCAACGTTGGCATTTTTACTGGGCCGGTACAAGCAATTAAATTGTCTTCCCCCCCCCACCTGCCCAAAGTTCCCTCCATTGGCCCGGTGCCCGGGGCCCATCCGGTGGCCGGTGGGCCCAGGGACCGCGTGCGCACTGGACATATGTGGGGAAAAAAGAGCTTCATAGCTTATCGGATTCCTCACGCAGTATAAAAACAGATTCTGATAGCTACGCCACTGCTTGTAGGCGGGTTACGTGGTGGTGGCGGGGGAGCGGTGGTGTCGTGGGTCGCGCTCTGCGCTACGAACCCGTTCCCGCTCACGGCCACCAACACCACCGGTGACGAATATCTGAACCGGTCCTGGGCCTCCCCTAGGTCGACTCGGCCTCAAACGAGTACCTGGTTGCGGTGAGTAGTAAACATCGCCACGAGGGAGACAAAGGCGGCCGGGCGTGGTGCTGGCCACCCACCCCCTCGTGTGCCGTTCCGGCCTTCACGCGTGCTCGCTAACAGCACTTGCCCCTACAGTCTGTTAAGGCTACACGGGGGATCTTTGGAGAAGGGAGAGTGCAGTACAGTATATGCCATCATTGGCGTGTGATGGTTTGAATCAGCCCGGCCTCCCCTCTGCCGAGGACTGTGCCTATTGCGCTTATCATTGATTGGGGGAGACAAAGGCGGCCGGGTGTGGCGGTGGCAAACCCATCCCCCTCGTGTGCTGGTCTTAATAGATCCTCATAACAGCACTTGTCCTCGTAGTTTAGGTCAGCTACACAGGGGACCTTTGTCTAGATGTGTATAGGTGTGCGTGTTCCAGTGTGTTTTACAATACACCGGGTTTGTATTCCCACTGCGTGTCGTGGAACATCGCATTGGTAATCCGATTGGTGTTTTCAAGTCTTACCCTAACCCCAGCTCTAGTCACGACGCTAACTCTAGGCCTAAGTCTCACCCTAACACCAGCTCTGGTCAAGACTCTAATCCTAAGTCTCACCCTAACCCCAGCTCTAGTCACGCCTCTAACCCTAACTCTCACCCTTACTCCAGCTCTAGTCACGACTCTAACCCTAACTCTCACCCTAACCCCAGCTCTAGTCAAGAATCTCACCCTAACCCCAGCTCTAGTCACGCCTCTAGCCCTAACCCTAACTCTCACCCTAACCCCAGCTCTAGTCACGCCTCTAGCCCTAACCCTCTCACCCTAACCCCAGCTCTAGTCACGCCTCTAACCCTAAGTCTCACCCTAACCCCAGCTCTAGTCACGCCTCTAGCCCTTACCCTAAATCTCACCCTAACCCCAGCTCTAGTCACGACTCTAACCCTAACCCTAAGTCTCACCCTAAGTCTCACCCTAACCCCAGCTCTAGTCACGCCTCTAGCCCTAACCCTTACCCTAAATCTCACCCTAACCCCAGCTCTAGTCACGACTCTAACCCTAACCCTAAGTCTCACCCTAAGTCTCACCCTAACCCCAGCTATAGTCACGACTCTAACCCTAACCTTAAGTCTCACCCTAAGTCTCACCCTAACCCCAGCTCTAGTCACGACTCTAACCCTAACCCTAAGTCTCACCCTAACCCCAGCTCTAGTCACGACTCTAACCCTAACCCTAAGTCTCACCCTAACCCCAGCTCTAGTCACGACTTTAGCCCTAGGCCTAAGTCTCACCCTAACACCAGCTCTAGTCACGACTTTAGCCCTAACCCTAAGTGTCACCCTAACCCCAGCTCTAGTCACGACTCTCACCCTAAGTGTCACCCTAACCCCAGCTCTAGTCACGACTCTCACCCTAAATCTCACCCTAACCCCTGCTCTAGTCACGACTCTAACCCTAACGCTAAGTCTCACCCTAACCCCAGCTCTAGTCACGACTTTAGCCCTAGGCCTAAATCTCACCCTAACCCCAGCTCCAGCCATGACTCTAGCCCTCACCCATAGTACACAGACAGAGGCCCGGGACCTCTCTGATCTCTCTCTCTATGTACTATAAGGGCCGTTGCCCTAAACGTCGCCTATTTTCTACATTTATTTTTTATCTTCTAAGGCCACACAGCGTATTGCTATTGACGAGTGTTGTGTTGAGTGTTTGTTGATGTTAATTGCGCTTTGTGCATTACTGTCAACGCAGAAGCAGCGTCACGAAATGGTTTGTCCGGGTTTGTCAGAGAGGGCTGAGGCTGGAGCAACGCAGCTGTTGACGGCCTTAGGCTGGACACTCGGGGTCTGAAGAACAGAAGCTTCCCCAAGTCAATCTCAGTGTCGGTTGCTGGCAACTTTGCTGCTGTAGTCGGATGGCACGTCGCGCTCGGGAGAGGTTGAAGTGGCAGAGGACTTACTCAGAGTAGAACGCTGTTAAACTAAACTATTATTTTTACCAGGTAAGGCCCACTGAGCTATATAGCTCTTTTTAAGAAGCGACCTGGCCATGAATAATAGCCCAACGAGAAGTGGCTTATTATCTTCAAATCTAGATTGGCTTATTATCACGTGGAATTTTTTAGCAGCCAAAAACCAGACGACCCGGAGAAAAATCCACGCGACCACGGGGAGAGAGATACATGCAAACTCCAAATATGTAGCAAGCGTCAAGGTTGGGATCGAACCGACGGCCTCCTGCATACCAGGCGAGGGAGATAACATCTCCTAGCCACTGCGGCGCCCAGTGAGGTTGTGGTGGCATCGTCATTTCTCGGCTTTGCCCCTGACGGTGTCTTGAAGTTTATATGCAGCATGGTCCTCTGTACATCATACCACTTGAAACACAACTGTCAGCATGGTCCTCTGCATACCACTTGAAACACAACTGTCAGCAGAGTCCTCTGTGCATCATACCGCTTGCAACAACTCAGAATAGTCCTCTGCATCATACCGCTTGAAACACAACTGTCAGGATGGTCATTTGCATCATATCATACCACTTGACACAACTGTCAGGATGGTCCTCTGCATCATACCGCTTCAAACACAACTGTCAGCAGAGTCCTCTGTTAGCGAAGTCAAACGTCTCAGCAGTCCCCCACTACTGCTGCTGCTCATGTAAATGTTGAGGCATCGGTGTTCAGCTCCTGTTTACAGCCAGGGGTGGAAATGTCACATTACTATGGCCGGGGCGAATCTATCCATAGGACAAAGAACGAGTTGGCTTTCCCTAGAACAAAGTGGTATTTATTTGATCGACCCTGGAGGGATGATCGGCTGAATTGACCACCAAAACAGAATTTGGTGGTCAGTTTTAGATTGTGGTTGAGTTTGCGTTGTGGTTGTGTGGTTTCTGGAATGTGGTTGTGTGGGTTGTGGCTGTGTGTGGGTTGTGAGTGTGGGTTGCGGTTGTGTGGATTGTGGTTGTGAGTGTGGGCTGTGGTTGTGGTTGCGAGTGTGGTTGTGGTTGTGAGTGTGGGCTGGTGTGGGTTGTGAGTTGTGGATTGAGTTGTGGTTGTTGTTGCTGTTGCAGTGAGGTGGAGCGGAGCCAACCCCGGTCATCATGGCCGACCGAAGGCAGCTTTTCACCGAGATGCGTACGAGAGCCGAGGCGCATAGTACAGCACAACAGAACACCACGTGACACCACACATCACCACGTGATATCACCACACAGCACCACGTAGCACCTTGTCGCACCACGTGACACCACCACACAGCACCACGTGACACCACCACACGGCACCACGTGACACCTTGTCGCACAATGTAACACCACGTGACACCGCGTTTGCTCTCCGTCCTCAGGAGCCCAGAATTTCGATGCCATCCGCCTGTCCACGTACCGCGCCGCCTGCAAGCTGCGCTTCGTGCAGAAGAGGTGCAGCCGTGAGTGCAGCAACCGCCACCTCCTCCATTGTCACCTCAACGTTCCCACCTCGTCACCATCGGACCCCAATCAACACCGCCCCTCTATCACGACATTGCCACCATCAATGACATATAAGAGGCCCACCACCACCTCCACACCACCAACACCACCTCACTCGTGGTGTGACCCCCACACGTTGCGTCTCGTCCCCCCGCCCACCCGCCCACCACGCCGCTCGCAGTCCACCTGGTGGACACGTGGAGCCTGCTGGAGGTGTTCCGGGAGCAGGGCCTGGCGGGGCGCGCGGACGGCACGGTGACCACCGGAGCCATGGCCCCCTCCGGCAGCGGCGGTAGTAGCGGCGGCGATGGTGGCGTTGGCAGTGGCGTTGGTGGTGGCGGCGTTGGCGTGGACATGTCGGTGGCCCAGCTGGAGCGGCTGGTGCTGTCCCTCTACGTGCAGCTCAACAAGAAGCTCTCCTCTCAGCAGCAGCTGTCGGCCGAGGCCTGCTCAGGCCTGCTGCTCTCCTTCCTGCTCGCCGCACTTGACAGGTCAGCCAGGCTGTGGGGTTGAGGGTTGGGTGGGGGATGGGGGAGGTGGAAGGTCAGGGTGTGGGCGCCCCATCCAGTGGTTCCCACCCCCGTGACGGGTGTGCAGCGCGAGGGAGAGGTGTGCGTACGTGTGTGTACTTGTGCATGCGTCTATACTTGAGTTTGTGGTGTGTGCATTGTATGGGGAGCGGTAGTGTAGTGGTTAGCGCGCTGCAATACAAATCCGGCAACCCGAGTTCGATTCTCGCTCACGGCCAACACGAATAGTCCTGGGACTCCCCTAGGTCGACTAAGCCTCAAATTAGTACCTGGTGCAGCATGTAAATATCGCCACTGGGGATACAAAGGCGATCGGGCGTGGTGCTGGCCACCCATCCCCTCGTGTGCCGTGCCGGCCTTCATAGGTGCTCGCTAACAGCACTTGCCCCAACAGTCTGTAAAGGGTATACGGGGGATCTTTGTCTTTTTGTGTGTGGACACGCACGTGCCCCGCGCAGCGAGGGCCTGGAGAAGGTGACGACGTTTTCCGTGAAGGTCACCCTGGCCACGATGTGCGGAGGCAAGATTGTGGACAAGCTTCGATGTGAGTTCACACGACTCGGAGATCACGGGGGGGAGAGGGGGGGGGTTGGGGCGTGGGCGGGGGAGCCCGGGTCCCCTGTGTCCCTCCCTCTCCCGCTCGCATCCCCCCTTCAGAGGGGACACATCACCCCCCACCCGCCACGTGACGCCGCTGTGTTCCCGCTTTCCGCAGATCTCTTCTCGGAGCTGTCCGACGGCTCGGGGGTGCTGATGTGGAGCCGCTTCGACCGCTTCCTGCAGGACGTGCTGGCGCTGCCCACCGCCGTGTTTGAGGGCCCGTCCTTTGGCTACAACGCGCAGACGGCGCGCGCCTGCTTCCCCAACCCCGTGCGTCGCCGCTGTCGCCGCCGGTTCACTCGGCTAGCCCACCGATCCTGGCTCCCCCCACCCCCAATCCGCGTCTCCCACTCTGTGGCCTGCTTCCTGGTTCTCATTTGTCTCTCCCGCGCGTCTCCCCGTATCTCCCCGTGTCTGCCCATGTGTCTCACCGCGTGTCTCACCGCGTGTCTCCCCGCGTGTCTCCCCGTGTCTCACCGCGTGTCTCCCCGCGTGTCTCCCCGCGTGTCTCCCCGCGTGTCTCCCCGCGTGTCTCCCCGCCCGTACCCGCAGCAGCGCGTGACCCAGAGCATCTTCCTGGACGCCCTCATGTCGGAGCCGCCCCCCCAGTGCCTCGCGTGGCTCCCCCTCATACACCGCCTCTGCAGCGCCGAGAATGGTAACCCCCCCCCCCCACCAAACCTTCGTCTCCACATTGGGCCCCCCCCCCAAAACTCTCTCCAGCGAGAACATGGTGATGATGGTGGTGGTATGTCTCGTGTGGTGGTGGTGATGGTGGCGGTGATAGTAGTGTGTGCTGTTTGGTAGTGGTGGTGGCAGTGTGTGCTGTTTGGTGGTGTATTGGTGGTGGCAGTGCGTGCTATTTGGTGGTGGTGGTGGTGGCAGTGCGTGCTATTTGGTGGTGGTGTATTTGTGGTGGCAGTGCGTGCTATTTGGTGGTGTAGTGGTGGTGGCAGTGCATGCTATTTGGTGGTGGTGGTGTAGTGGTGATGGCAGTTGTGTGCTGTTTGGTGGTGGCAGTGTATTGTTTGGTAGTGGTGGTTGGTGGTAGTGCGTGTCCTTTGGTGGCGGTCATGTCGGCATTGAATTGTCGACGTTACGGATGTCGTCGCGTTCGATGTCACTGCTCGATTTCGTCGCTGTTGTCGTTGTCATTGATGCCACCGTCCACTCGGCGGTTGTTTGCCGCGGTTGTTGGTGGCGCCGTGCGCGCGTGCAGTGTTCCACCCGGTGGAGTGCTCGTTCTGCCACAGCGAGAGCATGCTGGGCTTCCGCTACCGCTGCCAGCAGTGCCGCAGCTACCAGCTGTGCCAGGACTGCTTCTGGAGGGGCCAGGCGAGCAGCACCCACTCGAACCAGCACCAGATGAAGGAGTACACCTCCTGGGTACGCAGCAACAGCAGCGGCGGCGGCAGCGGCGGCGATGTTACCGCCCCGCGCTCGCGCCAGGCTAGGTGCACTTTTGAGGGCAGCTCGTCGAGTGTGAAAGGCGGCTCGTTTCTGGCGGGGGGGAAGGGGGGGGTTCTCGGGACAGACTCAGATGCCCGTGGGTTGATTGACCCGAGATGGGTGGCAGATGCACCACCCGTGCACCACACTGTGGCACCTCGCTCCGATTTAGCCGCCCGCTGCTCCGCTCGTTGCTGTGAGCATCGCTTCTTCCACTTTGACACCACGAGTGCCAGTCACTGGCAAGGCCACTTAGCTCAGAATCCTCCCGTACCAAAACATTCCACCGGTACGGCCATTGAAGGTGTCACGAACTATGTGGTTAAAAATAATAAACGCGTTCAATAGCGTGGGACCAGGAGGACATCACCGTCTCAGCGCAAGGCAAATGGGTAATGGCTCTGACTCCAGGCCACTCAGCGTCATGAAGGTTCTTAACGATCCTGAGCAACGTGATAGAACAACCCAAAGCCCTGGCCTCTCGCCTTGACCAGGATGATGGAGCACAGATGTGCGTCTCGCCGTGTCTCTCTCTCTGTCTTGTGTCTGCAGAAATCCCCGGCTAAGAAGCTGGGAGCTGCCATCTCAAAGACGCTGGGCTGCGTGTCCGGTCGTGAGAATTCCCACGCCTTGTACCCAGAGTCTCCGGACAACGGCGCAGAGACCACGCACGTCGGGTGTGGCTGCGCATCACAAAGACAAAGATCCCCCGTGTAGCCCTTAACAGGCTGTTGGGGCAAGTGCTGTTAGCGAGTAGCACCTTTGAAGGCTGGCACGGCACACGCGGGATGGGTGGACAGCACCACACCCGGTTGCCTTTGTCTCCGCAGTGGCGATGTTTACACGCTGCACCAGGTACTAATTTGAGGCCGAGTCGACCTAGGGGAGGCCCAGGACCGGGTCAAATAATTTAATTGTCACTGCGTGTTGGTGGCCGTGAGCGGAAATCGAAATCGGGGTCGCCGGGTTCGTAGCGCAGCGTAGCGCTCACGGCTACACTACCGGCTGCCCGTACACATACGTACACATACGTACACACAACAACAACAACAACAACCGCCATTCGCCACTAAGTGGCGGTGACGTCACCACGACGCTTGTGCCAGGCTATGTGCACCCTGAGGCCACGTGAAGTGTCGAACGCCCGCTGGCAGGAGGTCATGGGGCAGACCCAGGTGCCACGGGTCGACTGACTGAGATGACTGGCTGATGCACCACCTGTGCCTCCTACTGTGCCAACCTGCTGTGCTTTAGCCACCCGGCGCTCCGCTCGCTGTTGTGAGCGTCGCTCCTCCGCCCTCCGTTGTTGTTGGAGGGCGACTGCCTCCAACTGCCCAGTAGCATCCTTCACGAGCCTCCTCCACAGAGGCCGATCTTGACACCGCTGGTACCAGTCATCGGCAAGTCCACTCAGCTCCACGTCCTCCTGTACCACATCACTCCATCTCTTCTCTAGCCCGTGCCGCGCCCGCTTAGCCCCCTCAATCCGGCCAAACAAAAGCTGTTTCGGCATGCGGTGGCTGGGCATGCGGGCTACATGACCCAGCCATCGCAGCCTTGCCTGCCGGAGGAGCTCACCGATGGGACCCTGCCCAGATCTTTCAAGGATTTGTGAGCTCCTCACACAATCCTGTCTGGTTAAACCCAGGATGGATCGTAGGCAGGCCAGCCTAAATGTTTCTAACCGGCGAAGATGTTCCATTAGGGGGGTCCACGTTTCGCAAGCGTAGAGAAGGGAGGGAATGACCGTGGCCGAGAAGACCTGAAGCTTAGTGCGGAGCGACAGACCAGGTAGCTTCCACACAGCGTTACGCAACCGATGAAAAGATATTGCCGCTCGACTGATTCGGAGTGAGACCTCTGCTGTTAAACTGGAGCCAGTCATAAGCACACTGCCCAGGTATGGGAAACTCTCCACTCTCTCCACAACTGCCCCATCACCGATTGGGAGTTGTGGGGGTGGAGTGTCCGATGGTACAAAATACCCAGGCAGGTGCTTAGTTTTGGTGGGGCTGATGGTAAGGCCCCACCTCTTAGTGGCACGCTCCAGTCTCAGCAGCAGCGTCTCCAACTCCTCCTCTGACTGAGCAGCTATTACCAAATCATCAGCATACATAACGTGGTTGAGCAATAGGGAGCCATCCCTTGACCGCACCCGGGCATCAATTAGCCTCCCATAATATCTGTACCATATGGAGATTCCCCCGGTACAGCTATTGAAGGCTTCACGAACTACGTGGTCAAAATAGATGTTAAATAATGTGGGAGCCAGAGGACATCCCTGTCGCACCCCAAGGTGTACAGGGAATGGCTCTGACTCCCGGCCACGTAGTTTTACCCGGGCCCGCTCACCATCATGAAGGTCCTTAATGATCGTGAGCAGAGGGTCAGGTACTCCAAAAGCACGAAGAACGGCCCAGAGCCCAGGCCTACTGATGGTATCATAGGCCTTGACCAGGTCAATAAAGCAGAGATGTAGGTCTTGTTGGAATTCCCTACACCTCTGCTGTAGCAGACGGACAGAAAATATGGCATCTGTGCAGGACCGCCCTTTCCTGAAACCGCATTGGGGCTCCGCAAGCCTCTCCTCAGCGTGCCTGGCAAGGCGATGCTGAATAATCCTTGCCAGGACCTTTCCCGGCACACTGAGGAGTGAGATGCCCCTGTAGTTGTTACAGTCTGTGCGGTCCCCCTTCTTAAAGAGGGGGACCACCAGGGCATCCTTCCAATCCTGCGGAACCCGTCCAGTGGCCCAGACTGTTGTTATGATGTCATGTAGGGCAGTCTGTGCACAAACGCCACCCTCCCTCAGCATTTCGCTTGGGAGATCATCTCTGCCTGCTGCCTTTCCTGGTCTCAGACTCCGGATCGCCTTCAATACTTCCTCAGCAGATGGCACCTCAGCCAGCCACTCACAGGGGGTGACTTCATCCAATATTTGAGGCACCGCAGCCTCAGCAGGGTCATCCTCACTTTGTGCCACGATGTTTTCCTGGCTGAGGGATTTTCCCTCCCCCAGGACCTCACAGAAATGCTCAGCAAATCTGCGAACCTGTTCCTGGGGGTCGAAAATTGGATCACCGTTTTTTCCCCTAATGATGGTAATAGGTGTGGCGCTGCAGGTTACTTTTTTGATGGAGTTAAATAGAGATTTGTGATCACGGGCCACTGAGGCAGACTCCATCTCCTCAGCAACCCGCGACCACCACCCATCCTTGCAGCGCCTCACGGCTCTCCGAACCTCCGAGCGAAGGCAGCGGTAAGCCTCCTCATTCTCTGACGTGGGATTCTGTAGCCGTTGACAGTGGGCCTGTCGCTTTTTCTCAACCATCCTGAACAACTCCTCTGTCATCCAGGTTGTCTGGGGAGGTCTGGACCGCGTACCCAGAGCAGCCATTGCAGCTGCATGAGTCACAGTCCTAAACCTCGCCCATTTACCCTCGACATCAGGAGGAGTCGGGGACGATGCCAATCCCAGCCGCAAGCGATGATGAAATTCTCGCTTGCAACTTTCATCAGATAACTGAGACCAGGCCACTTTAGGTTGGAATGGGGTCCTGGGTGTACACCCACCACCGGAGTGGAAGAATGGCAGGCGCATCTTACAGATGACTAGTCGATGGTCAGAGGGCAGATCAGCTCCACGGTAGGTCCTGGTGTCAAGGACATGGGCTCGCATTCGCTGGTCCGTCACTATGTAGTCCAGCAGATGTTCTTGCTTGGACCCGGCATGCATCCATGATGTTGTGTGGATGCGCCGATGCCGGAACAGCGTGTTGGTAATTACAAGCCCATGGGCTGCACAAAAATCTAGCAGCCTCCTACCGTTGTTATTGAGCTGATCTGGCCCATGCCCTCCAATCACTCCAGACCAGGTGCCAGTATCATGACCAACTCGGGCATTGAAGTCACCCAACATGATGACTCTATCCCGAGGGGCCACTTTAGCCAGCACCTGTGACAGGAGGTCATAGAAGGCATCTGACTCATCGGCTTTGCCTGCATCCCTCCACGGATGTTCATCTTCGGTGGGGGCATAAGTAACCACGACCACCATTCCTCGCCTCCGGTTGATGGGAAGGCGAGCCCAAAGTAGCCTGGGGCTTACAGCTTCCCACACCTCACCGCCACGCTCCCACGCCCCCTTCATTCTTTTGTTCAAAAGAAGACCCACACCCTGTTGTTTGGCAGTCTGCTGCCCCGAGTAGAGGACTGTCCACCCCTCATGATGGCAGGAGCCAGAGCCGGTCCACCGGACCTCCTGAATGCCGCATAGATCCAGGCGGTACCGGTCCAGCTCCCGACAGAGGAGTGGCAGCCTCTCCTCTGCAGTGAGCGTTCGAACATTCCACGTGGCCACCCGTAGTGGATTTTCGTTGTTTCTGGAGTAGCCCCGAGGGTAGGTATTCAATCTCCTGGCTCCGCCAATTGGGGTTTGGCCAGGAGACGTCATAGACGCCTGGCCCCCCGGGGCCTCCGGCACAAGCTTAGTTGTTACATATTTCAGTTTAATTCGTAGTTTCGTGGTAATTAATTGAAGGTGGAGGGGTTACCAGCCCCTCGCACCCGTCCAGAGCCCCCGTTTAGCCCCTGTGGTGGACACATATGCCATGAGGGGAGGAGCCAATCAAAATTGGATCTCCCCCCACAGCGCTGTCCACGACAGAGTTGCCCGTCCGGCACCGCGAGGAGGTAGGGGGTTGTTTTGCACACATGTACACACACACGTACACACACACGTACACACACACGTACACACAGACACATACACTCGATCTTGTCTACAACTGTGTCCCACCCCCCTCTCCTTCCCGCAGCCTCCCCTGGTCCCACTCCAGTGCGATGGACGGAGTCGTCCCTTCCTCCAACCGCAGGTCAGTGTCATGGTGCCCGTGGCGTCAAGGTGGCTAGGAGAAGTTAACTACCTCGCCTGGTATGCAGGAGGTCACGGGTTGGATCCCGACCCTATTTGGAGTTTGCGTGTCTCTCCGCGTGGATTTTCTCCGGGTCCTCCGGTTTTTCCTTCCACATTGAGTGGCCTGGAGTTGGAGTAGTTGGCTGTTATACAATTCCACGTGATAAGCCACTTCGTTGAGCTATCATTTGTGTCCAGGTTGCTTCTGAAAAAGAACTACATAGCTCAGTAGGCCTCACCTGGTAAAATATAAAATAGTTTAGTTTCCTCCCAGGGCCGTCCATAGGGGGGGTGCGGGGCCCGGGGCAACTCACGCCGCGTGGGTCCCCACCGCCGCCTTCAAACAAAACCGGAAGTGATACATCTGACAGCGTGACGTCGAAGCGCGGAGCCCCCCAGAGCGCGGGGCCCAGGGCAGTCGCCCAGATTCACCGTGTACCCTCGGGACGACTCTGCCTCCTCCCTGTGCACACCCTCGTGTCTCTGTCCATCTGTCCGGTTCTCCACATGTTGTCTTTCTCTGACCGTGTCTCTCTCTTTGATGTCTTCTGTGTCTCCATCCATGTCTCTACCGTGTCCCCGCGCCTCTGTCCGTGTCCCCGTGTCTCACTCTCGGCTGCGTCCCCAGCTCCGTGTTAATGGCCGAGAGCCCGGGCCGCTCTGATGACGAGCACCACCTCATCGCGCGGTACGCGGCACGGCTGGCAGCCGAGGACAACGTGAGGACAACCACGCGCAATCGCACACCGCAACCACCGCACACCGCAACCACCGCACACAGCAACCACCACAACCACACACAATCGCACATCGCAACCACACGCAATCGGACACCACAACCACACACCGCAACCACCGCAACAATGCGCAATCGCACACCGCAACCACCGCTGCCTCACACCGCAACCACACACCAACAACCACACACCAACAACCACACAGCACAACCACACACCACAACAATAGCACACACTACTACAGCCACCTCAACAACCACTTTGTCCACACCTACCTGAACAACCACCTCACCCACAACTACCTCGACAACCATATCACCACCACAGCCACCGCCTCGGCATCACCTCCACCAACACTGTGTTCTGTGGTACTGTACGTAGTCTGTGCTGCTGTGCACATTGTACCAGAGTGTGCACTGTACGCACTGTGCACACACTGCGGGGCCGCACATACTGTACACACTGTATGCACCACACACTACAAACTACACACTGTACAAAACTGCACACTTTACGCACCGCGCACGCACTGTACACACTGCGCACTGTGAATACTGCACCACGCACACTGTGCACACTGTATGCACTGTGCACACACTGTGCTCACTGTACGTACTGCCTATGCAGAGGGCTTTGGCTGCGGGGGAGATCTCTCCGCTCTCGATGGACGTCAACAAACATCAGCGGCAGCTCATCGCCGAGTTGGAGAGTCGCAATCGGTGAGCGAGCAACGGGACACTGGCCTCGCTGTCGGTGGTGGTTGTGATGTTGATGACAGTGATGTTGTTGATGTTGATGCTCGAGAGGATGTTGATGTTATTGTTGTTGTTAAGGTTGGTGGTGATGTTGACGATGTTCTTGATGCTAGTGATGATCTTGATGTTCGGTTGACGTTGTCGATGTTGATGATGTTGATCGCGGCGTTGATGTTGCCAATGTCGATGATCGTGCCATCGATGTTGTCGATGATGTCGATGATCGTGCCGCCGATGTTACGGATGCTGGCGACGGCGTTGACGTGGGCGAACGGCGTTGCCCGCGGGTGGCGCAGGGAGATCCTGCAGGAGATCCAGCGCCTGCGTGTGGAGCACGAGCGGGCGTCGCGGGCGCCGGCGCCGCCCGACCGCGACCACCACAGCCCGGCCCTGCTCACCGAGCTGCGCCTGCTGAGGTAGGGACCCACCTCCTCGCCGCACACCCGTCGCGCCTCGTCACGCCTCGTCGCACCTCTTCGCAGCTCATCATCATCATCATCTGTCATCACACCATAACAGTCACGCCTTTTACTGCACCGTGTGTACCCTGTGTGTGCCGTGGTGTGTAAACTACGTGTCACGTGGTGTGTACTACATGTACCGTGGTGTGTGTGCTGTGCCGTGTGTACCCTGTGTGTGTATACTACGTGTCACGTGGTGTGTACTACATGTACCATGGTGTGTGTGCCGTGTGTACCCTGTGTGTACCGTGTGTGTATACTACGTGTCACGTGGTGTGTACTACATGTACCGTGGTGTGTGTGCTGTGTGTACCGTGTGTGTATACTACGTGTCACGTGGTGTGTACTACATGTCCCGTGGTATGTGTGCTGTGTGTACCCTGTGTGTACCGTGTGTGTATACTACGTGTCACGTGGTGTGTGTACTGCGCTCACCGTTCTGCAGGCAGCGCAAGGAGGAGTTGGAGCGCCGCATGTCGGCCCTGCAGGAGAACCGCCGTGAGCTCGTGCAGCAGCTCGACAGCCTCATGAAGCTTCTCAAGGTGACGGCCACCGCCGCCACCACCACCGCCACCACCACCATCACCGCCACCAACGACAGACAAAGATCTCCCCGTGGAGCCTAAACAGAGTGTAGGGACAAGTGCTGTTAGCGAGCAGCACCTATGAAGGCCGGCACGGCACACGAGGGGGTGGGGTGGTCAGCACCAGGCACGGCAGCCTCTCTCTCCCCAGTGGCGATGTTTACACACCACAGCAGGTACTCATTTGAGGCTGAGTCGACCTAGGAGAGACTCAGGACCGGTTCAGATAATCGTCACTGGTGTTGGCCGTAAGCAGAAATCGAACTCAGGTCGCCGGGTTCGTAGCGCAGCGCTCTAACCACTACACTACCGCTCCACCTGCACCACCACCAGTGCCACCACCACCACCTGCACCACCACCACCAGCGCCACCACCACCAGCGCCACCAACACCATCATCAACACCACCGTAGCCACTGTGGTTCGGTGCACCACAAAACGAGGTGTGGCACCTTGATACGATGCAGTGCGGTTTTGTGTGGTGTGGCTGTTTTGCGTGGTGCATTGTGGTTCTGTGTGTGGCGTGGTTCCGTGCGGTGCGGTTGTGTGTGGTGCGGTTGTGTGTGGTGCGGTGCGCAGACCCAGGGGTCGGGGTCCCCGCGGTCGTCCCCCGGCCACACCGCGAGCCGGCCGATCCCCACCCCGATCCGCACCCCCTCGTGCGGCTCCTCGCCGGCCCACACCCCCCAGGAGCCCCCCCCTAGCCCCGGGGGGGACCCACACACCCCGCCCTTCTCGCAGGGTGAGTAACTACAAAGACAAACATCCCTCCTTTCGTGCTTTCACAATTGCAATATCTATCTATAGGAATCCGATGAGCTATAAAGCTCTTTTTCACAAATGTCCAGTTGCCTTAACGGACTGTTGGGGCAAGTGCTGTTTCCAAGTAGTACCTATGAAGGGTGGCCAGCACCACGCCCGGCCGCCTTTGTCTTCTCATTTGCAATGTTTATGGTCCAAACCTGGTACTCATTTGAGGCTGAATCGACCTAGGGGAGGCCCGAGACCGGTTCACATATTCGTCACTGGTGTTGAACGTGAGCGGGAATCGAACCCGGGTTGCCAGGTTCATCGCGCAGCGCGCTAACCGCTACACTACCGCTCCCCACTGAGTGACCACTCTCAGAGTCACACACACATGCAGCATCACTCGCCACCCAAGACATCACTACCTGCAGCTATATTGCTGATGTTGGTGGTGATAGTGACGGTGGTGTTGAGAAGGATTATGTTAATGATGGCGGTGACGATGGTGGTGTCGCTGATGGTGATAATGAAGGTGATGATGATAGTGACGACAATGGTGACGATGGTGGTTACGACGACGACGGTGATGATGGTGATGGTGACGGATGTTGCCAGGGTTCCGGAGGAATCTCTGTAACGATCTCCTTGTGGCGGCCGACTCCATCGCGAGCACGATGACGTCACTCGTGCGGGAGCTTGACTCGGGTAACCCGCACACACGTGTCGCTCGCCTGACACTCACCCCTCCCACACGCCATTGATGTCATTGTTGTTGTCATTGATGTTATTGTTGATGTTGTAGTTGATGAAGTCTTTGTTGATGTAGTTGGATGTCATTGTTGTTGTCGTAGACATCAGTGGAGACGAGGATGATGGCGGGTTCTTCCCGGCGGCGCGAGATCGAGGTGAGCAGCTGACATCGGGGGACCAGCGGGGGGGGGGGGGTGCCTGCCCCCCTCCAGGTTTATAACTCACCCCAACGTGAGCCTCGTTAAGAGCACAGCCCCCTGCTTCTTCCTCTCTGTCCTGCCCCCCCCCCGTCTCTCTTGCCCCCCACAGATCCCATCAGAAGGCAGAGTGGGGGGGGCCGGCGCGAGTGGGAGCCCCCCCCCCACGGGGGGGGGCTGCCGTCGCCCCCCTCCCCCGACCTCATCATCCTGGCGCCGTCGAGCGCTCGGCGTCATCTGGGGGGGTCCGGAGCCCCCCACTGGTATGGGACACGGACACCTGCACACACGCACACGTGTGGGTGCGTACGCGTGTGGGTGTGTACGCGTGTGGGTGCGTACGCGTGTATGTATCCATGTGTGTGCGCGTGTAGCATAGCGGTTAGCGCGCTGCGCTATTAACCCGGCGACCCGGGTTCGATTCCCGCTCACGGCCAACAGCAGTGACGATTATCTTAACCGGTCCTGGGCCTCCCCGAGATCGACTCAGCCTAAAATGAGTACCTGGTGCGGTGTGCAGTAAACATCACCACTGGGGAGACAAAGGCGGTCGGGTGTGGTGTTGGCCACCCCACACCTTGGTGCGCCGTGCCGGCCCTCACAGGTGCTACTCACCAACAGCACTTGCCCCAACACTCTGTTAAGGCTACACGGGGGATCTGTGCCCTTGTTTACATGCGTGTGGGCAGCGTGCAGGATGAGGGCTTGGCGGCGCCGTCGCCGCGCGGGGCGGGCGAGGGCTGTGCCGGGGGGGAGCCCCTCAAGCACCGGGTCGCTCCGGCCAACTCGCCGCTCCCTCTCACACAAGCGGTGAGCCACCTCCGCCGACGATGCCCTGCGGTGCCCTGTCTCCTGCCGTCTCCTCCCGTCTCCGTCCTGTCTCCTTCTCCCCGTGTAATGTCTCGACGAAAGGGTTTTCTCCGGGGTGATGCGAAGTGAATGCTAAGCGATGCCGAGCGATGCCGAGTGATGCCGAGCGACATCACTGTGGAGTGACCGTGACCCTGCTGACCCTGACCCTGTTGGCCGCGCAGCTCGTGAGTTCCTCTGGGCAAGACGAGGATCTGGCGTCGGGGAGCAGCGCCGGCCAGCACAACAGCGGCGGCGGCGGTGGCGGTGGAGGAGGTGGTGATGAGGGGGGACGGGTGAGGAGGAGCCTGGTTCAGTAACAGCGCCACGATCGACCGAGACGGCACGGACGGGTGGAGCGGGGCCATGGGGTCGTAAGGTCGTGGGTGGATGGGGTCGTGGGGTCGTAAGGTCGTGGGTGGAGCGGGGTCGTGGGGTCGTAAGGTCGTGGGTGGAGCGGGGTCGTGGGGTCGTAAGGTCGTGGGTGGAGCGAGGTCGTGGGGTCGTAAGTACGTGGGTGGAGCAGGGTCGTGGGTGGAGCGGGGTCATGGGGTCGTAAGGTCGTGGGTGGAACGGGGTCGTGGGGTTGCAAGGTCGTGGGTGGAGCGGGGTCTTAGGGTCGTGGGTGGAGCGGGGTCGTAGGGTCATGGGTGGAGCGGGGTCGTAAGGTCGTGGGTGGAGCGGGGTCGTAAGGTCATGGGTGGAGCGGGGTCATTAGGTCGTGGGTGGAACGGGGTCGTGGGGTTGCAAGGTCGTGGGTGGAGCGGGGTCTTAGGGTCGTGGGTGGAGCGGGGTCGTGGCGTCGTGGGTGGAGCGGGGTCGTAGGGTCGTGGGTGGAGCGGGGTCGTGGCGTCGTAAGGTCGTGGGTGGGACGGGGTCCTGGATTGAGTGGGGTCTTGGGTGCAGCGGGATTGTGGGTGAAGTGGAGTTATAAGGTCGTCGGGGTCATAGGTGGAGCAGGATTGTGGGTTAATGGGCAGAATGGGGACGTGAGGTCATGGATGGAGCGGGATTGTGGGTAGAGCAGGGTTCGCGGACGGAGAGAGGTGTCAGGAGCGGAGCGGGGACGCGAGGTCGGGGGTGGAGCAAGCATCGGCATCGATCCCAGGACCAGCACAGCTGCGAGCACAGCGAGGGGAGGCGGTGGTGGAGCCGGTGAAGTCTCCACGGCGCCGCCCTGGAGCCGCCCTGGAGCCGCTTGGGGCTGCGGGGAACCCGTGGATGTCCATAATGTACATAGCCGGCGGCGTGTCGACTTAGAGATTCCTATCACTCGGGGCTGTTGTAAAGGTTTACATATGCACATACGTGTGTGTGTGTGAGAGGGGTGGGTGTGTGTGTGTGGGAGGGGGGAGCGGTGGCGCAGCGGTTAGCGCGCTGCGCTACGAACCCGGCGGCCCGGGGTTCGATTCCCGTTCACGGCCAATACCAGTGACGATTATCTGACCCGGTCCTAGGCCTCCCCTAGGTCGACTCATTCTCAAGATAGTACCCCAGTGTGTCAGCTTCAGCACTGGGGAGACAAAGGCGGCCAGGCGTGGTGCTGGCTGCGCCCACCCCCTTGCATGCTGTGTGGGCCTTAATAGGTGTTCGCTGACAGCACCTGCCCCAACAGCGCCTGCGTAGACCACACAGGGGGTGTTTGTTTGTGTTGTGAGGACTGCCGTTACCGACTGAGTGTGTCCACGTATCGTCAGTCCCACGCTGTCTTTATTTGCTGCCAGTTATTTTACATTCTCCTTTTCCGTACCACTGCCATGGCAGCTGTTGTTCGTGGCTGTTGCTCACTGGCGAGCAGGCAGCACGAATTGTGGGATGAGTTATCCGTTGGTTTTGATGGACAACTCTCGACTATCTGGGGCGATGGGGGTCCGGGGTAGGGCTTGCCCGGATAAACAGCAGCCAGCAACAAACAGTACTCTCAGAGTTGTGATAGATGAGGGAGGGAGAGAGAGGGAGAGAGAGTGTGTAACCACAGTGCTTGGTCTGAGCAAGGTTGTTATAAGAGCTGGCGAGAGATGAAGCAGGAAGTGTCAGTGAGTGGATGAGTTGGTGGACGAGCGATTGGCCGAGTGACTGAATAAGTGCTTTTATGAGTGAGTGAGTGGGTTAGTGAGTAGGTAACTTGTGGTGAACATGCAAACAATAAAACACATGGTTTAACACGTCTGGCGAATTGCCCGATGATGCTGGAAGTATTTACCAGCGAAACGTCGTACTCAAACTGTAAATGTGGATTCACTCTTCAACACACCGGTGGGCTAAAGTAGTGAATTATTTGTCTTTTGTCAACGTGACACTTTTTTTTGCTGATTGGCCGTGTCGGGTGGTGGAGGGTTACGACACATTTATAAATAAACGCGATCTAACCCAAAAAACCGTTATTATGAATAATAAAACACATGCTCTGGTAGTCTACGATGCATTGTCTTTGAAACTGATTGGTCCACGCCAGAGACAGCTTTCTTTAGATACTCTTTGGTTCTTTCGGTAAATTCACGTAAGTAGAAAAATAAATAATAAATGTGTTTTTTTTTTCGAAATCAATCACGACGTTTCGATTGCAACACAAGCAATCAGCTTTCTTTAGAACCTAGTCTCAGTGTTAGACCAGAGGACGTCAAAAGGCGAAGAGTGTGGACCAATCAGTTCCAAAGACAATGCATCATAGACTACCAGAGCACGTGTTGTTTTGTATGTATGTTCACCACAATAACATGTGGTTAATGCAGACAGGATTCCTTGCGGAAGGTTTCTGTTTGGTGTTTTAACATCTTAATACAACTGTCTTCCATAATATAGGGGTTTTTGGGAGTTAGATCGTCTGATGAAGCTAGTTGTAATTACTGGCGAAACGTTGTACTCAGATTGTAAATGTTGTGGCTTGGCTCTCCAACACACCGGTGTGCTGTACTAGTGACCAATTGGCCACGTTCTCTTTACGCGACAACCCTTACTAGTTGGCTGTGTCGGGTGGTGGCGGGTTTTAACAACACATTTATATAATTACACGATCTTACCCAAAAAAAAACCCCTCTGTTATGGATGATATTGGTCGCAAAAGCCTACAACGTGTTAAACTCACAACTGTCTTATTGCCAGGAAGGGTAAAACCTATTCTTTTAAACGTGGGTGTGTGGGTGGGTGAGTGAGTCGATGTGTTGTTGTGACCTGCAGTGTGGTGAGTGTGTGGGTGGATGAGTGAGTGGGTGTGTAAGTGGGTGAGTGAGTGGGTGTGTAGGTGAGTGGGTGTGTAGGTGGGTGGGTGAGTGGGTGTGTAAGTGGGTGTGTAGGTGAGTGGGTGTGTAGGTGGGTGGGTGAGTGGGTGTGTAGGTGAGTGGGTGTGTAGGTGGGTGGGTGAGTGGGTGTGTAAGTGGGTGTGTAGGTGAGTGGGTGTGTAGGTGGGTGGGTAAGTGGGTGTGTAGGTGAGTGGGTGTGTAGGTGTGTGAGTGGGTGTGTAGGTGAGTGAGTGTGTAGGTGGGTGGGTGTGTAGGTGGATGGGTGAGTGGGTGTTGTTTTGACCTGCGGTTTGGATGCGACAAAACAGTTGGTAGCCAGAATCCTCAACAATGAGCGAAGTTCACGGGGAACAGGAACCCTGGTGGTAGTCGTTGTAGTCGTAGCCGCAGCGATAGAAGAGTGATAAGGGGGTGACAGGCCACCGCCGATGAGTGAGCGAGTGAGCGGAGTGAATCCGTGAGCACTTGGATCGTCAGTCACCCCGACTGCTACGTTCTGCCGGGTTCCGAGTACAGCAGTGCTAGGTCGGAGCCTCTGGGCGCTCCACCACAGATGTGGCAGCGGTAGCAGGAGGCCAACTTGGGACAGATTGGTGCTTGGCACACCGGCGGTGACGATTGATCGGGAGTTCGATCGCGTGGGCAGCGCGTTAGGCGGCGCTCAAAGAGCAAGGAGCAGCCCCGGTATCCGGAACCACATCGGCCGCACGGCGCGCGGGGGAATCCCGATAATCGAGAGTTGACTCGGTATTGATTTTTTTTATTTGCCGATGCTGCTGATGCGCTGGCAGTGGTGCACAAGCAGAGCCCAGGAACACAGCAAGACACTCAACACGCGTGGCAATAACAACACCCCGTGTGTGTGTGGCCTTACAAGGAAAAGCATGTATAATGGGGGGAATTTTCAGCAATGGCCCTGCTTGGTGGCACATTGATTTTGTGCGCTGTGAAGGAGGCCCATTGGCTGAAACGTTGCTTGTTATATATTTTCCTTCTAATGCCACGCGCGGTGTTGTTTTTGATACGGAACCTGTCGAGACTTTTTTTTCTCCAAAAAATACTTCCATTTTGTTTACATTTTAAGTTTATATATATACATTGTACAGTATATTTTTATTGGTGATTTTTTTTGGTAAATGTTATTTGATTTACTGAAGACTAACTTGACACGCATAGGAATTGAGAAGAACCGGAAATTCGTGTGTGCACAGCGTTGGAGCTGTTGTATTTGTGTTGGAGTTGGTGTAGAGGTGGTGTGTGGTGGTGGTGTAGGGTGATGTGTGTTGGTGGTGGTGTAGAGGTGGTGTGTGTTGGTGGTGGTGTAGGGTGATGTGTGTTGGTGGTGGTGTAGTGGTGGTGTGTGTTGGTGGTGGTGTGGAGGTGGTGTGTGTTGGTGGTGGTGTGGAGGTGGTGTGTGTTGGTGGTGCTGTAGAGGTGGGGTGTGTTGGTGGTGGTGTAGGGTGATGTGTGTTGGTGGTGGTGTAGGGTGATGTGTGTTGGTGGTGGTGTAGGGTGATGTGTGTTGGTGGTGGTGTAGAGGTGGTGTGTGTTGGTGGTGGTGTAGGGTGATGTGTGTTGGTGGTGGTGTAGTGGTGGTGTGTGTTGGTGGTTTGGTGGTGGTGTAGTGGTGGTGTGTGTTGGTGGTGGTGTGGAGGTGGTGTGTGTTGGTGGTGGTGTAGAGGTGGTGTGTTGGTGGTGGTGTAGAGGTGGTGTGTGTTGGTGGTGGTGTAGAGGTGGTGTGTGTTGGTGGTGTAGGGGTGGTATGTGTTGGTGGTTTGGTGGTGGTGTAGGGTGATGTGTGTTGGTGGTGGTGTAGAGGTGATGTGTGTAGGTGGTGTGTGTTGGTGGTGGTGTAGAGGTGATGTGTGTTGGTGGTGGTGTAGTGGTGATGTGTGGTGGTGGTGTAGAGGTGGTGTGTGTTGGTAGTGGTGTAGTGGTGATGTGTGTTGTTGGTGGTGTAGTGGTGATGTGTGTTGTTGGTGGTGTAGAGGTGGTGTGTGTTGGTAGTGGTGTAGTGGTGATGTGCGTTGGTGGTGGTGTAGAGGTGGTGTGCGTTGGTGGTGGTGTAGTGTTGGTGGTGGTGTAGAGGTGGTGTGTGTTGGTGGTGGTGTAGAGGTGGTGTAGTGGTGATGTGTGTAGGTGGTGTGTGTTGGTGGTGGTGTAGTGGTGATGTGTGTTGGTGGTGGTGTAGAGGTGGTGGTGTAGAGGTGGTGTGTGTTGGTGGTGGTGTAGAGGTGGTGTGTGTTGGTGGTGGTGTAGTGGTGATGTGTGTAGAGGTGGTGTGTGTTGGTGGTGGTGTAGAGGTGGTGTGTGTTGGTGGTGGTGTAGAGGTGGTGTGTGTTGGTGGTGGTGTGTGTTGGTGGTGGTGTAGAGGTGGTGTGTGTTGGTGGTGGTGTAGTGGTGATGTGTGTAGAGGTGGTGTGTGTTGGTAGTGGTGTAGAGGTGGTGTGTGTTGGTGGTGGTGTAGAGGTGGTGTGTGTTGGTGGTGGTGTAGAGGTGGTGTATGTTGGTGGTGGTGTAGTGGTGATGTGTGTAGAGGTGGTGTGTGTTGGTGGTGGTGTAGAGGTGGTGTGTGTTGGTGGTGGTGTAGAGGTGGTGTGTGTTGGTGGTGGTGTAGAGGTGGTGTGTGTTGGTGGTGGTGTAGAGGTGGTGTGTGTTGGTGGTGGTGTGGAGGTGGTGTGTGTTGGTGGTGGTGTAGAGGTGGTGTGTGTTGGTGGTGGTGTAGAGGTGGTGTGTGTTGGTGGTGGTGTAGAGGTGGTGTGTGTTGGTGGTGGTGTAGAGGTGGTGTGTGTTGGTGGTGTGTGTTGGTGGTGTGTGTTGGTGGTTTGTGTTGGTGGTTTGTGTTGGTGGTGTGTGTTGGTGGTGTGTGTTGGTGGTGTGTGTTGGTGGTGTGTGTTGGTGGTGTGTGTTGGTGGTGGTGTAGAGGTGGTGGTGTAGAGGTGGTGTGTGTTGGTGGTGGTGTGTGTTGGTGGTGGTGTGTTGGTGGTGGTGTGTGTTGGTGGTGGTGTAGAGGTGGTGGTGGTGTAGAGGTGGTGGTGGTGTAGAGGTGGTGTGTGTTGGTGGTGGTGTAGAGGTGGTGTGTGTTGGTGGTGGTGTAGAGGTGGTGTGTGTTGGTGGTGGTGTAGAGGTGGTGTGTGTTGGTGGTGGTGTAGAGGTGGTGTGTGTTGGTGGTGGTGTAGAGGTGGTGTGTGTTGGTGGTGGTGTGTGTTGGTGGTGGTGTAGAGTTGTGTGCTGGCGGTGGTGTCGAGGTGATGTGTTCGCGTCGATGTAGAGGTGGTGTGTTGTGCACGCTGTGTCAAGGTGTTGAGTTGGTGTCGGGGTGTGAGTCTTGTGAGTGGCTATTGCAAATGTGAAAAGCTTTCAAAACAAATCATATCACCTGTACGGGCGACCTGTAGAGAATAATAAATTACATCACTGTGTGTGTGTGTGACGCTGTACACGGAGTAATAACGCACGCTTGTCACACACCCCTAACACAACACCCCACTCGCCGCTGATGTGATGCGCTAACCACTGTGCCACCGTTCCCTCCGACGCTGTCAGTCTCACTCGGTCTGGCAATACAAGCTCGCATTGTGACAAGCATGTCACAGGATAAAGACAAAGATCCCCATATAGTATACACAGGTTGTTGGGTCAAGTGCTATTCCGCGAGCACCTATGAAGACCAGCACGGTACACGAGGGTTTGGGTAGCCAACACTATGCCTGTCCGCCTTTGTATCTCCAGTGCTGATGTTTACACACCGCACCAAGTAGGAATTTAAGGCTGGGTCAACCTTGGGGAGGGCCCAGGAACGGTTCAGGTAATCGTCTGGTGTTGGCCGTGAGCGGGGCTTGGTAGCACAGTGCACGAACCATTGCGCCACCACTCCTCACTTTGTCACAGGAACCAGGAGCACATACAAAACAGTTTAATGAGTTAAATTTCCATGATCATGGAGGTGATGGAGCCGCTAGTGCTGGAGATGGAGGCCGTGTGATGATTGATATGTGAGTATGAGCGATAGAGATATGAATGATGGTGTTGGCGATGAGCGATAGAGCTGATGAGAGTAATGATGATGGTGTGGTGGCGATGATAGCATTGGGATTACGGTAATAGGATGACTGAGTATGTTACTATGAGAATTTCAGTTTCATTTATTTGGCATAGACCTGTGAGCCATTTGGCTCTTGAATCGGGTGCAACCGCAACAAACAAAAAACATGAAGAAAACGTCTTAAAGTGACTGACTGTGCAAACAGAAAATCCAGGAAAAAAACAGCAACATATTCCTGAAAAAGAACCTTACACCAACGCTGTGTGCAAAAATCCCAGTGGGATGCAAGTCAAACAACCACAAGACAAATTTTGATTTAAAGCTTTCGTGACTGCAGTAATTCATATTCTTAGTTCTTTTGGAAAAGTCACGTTGAAGGGAAACAATAAAATAATAAAATATATCATCAGGTGTGTCGGTTTGCAAACCGACACACCTGATGACGACCGTTTGTGTTATGGTCGAAACGTCGTGAGAATTTTTATTTTATATATTTTATTGTTTCCCTTCAACGTGACTTTACCGAAAGAACTAAGAATATGAACCACAAGACAACTTAGATTAAGGCCATCAGTCTAACTCCGTACTACAACAAACATGGCCAAACCAAAAAACTTTTCGACATCAAAATAAAGCCATAAAAGCAATGTAACAGTGATCATAGGAACAACAGTGATCATAGGAACAATGAATGACGGTGGGGTTATAGGGATATATGTGATGATGGTCCTTAACGTAGTGTGATGATTCTGGTGAAGACGGTTGCTATGGTGGTGATGGTTGCCACAGTGGTGATGTTTTCCGCGGTAATTCCGGTCGGCATGATGATGATGGTTACCTAGGTGATGATGGTTACCACGGTGATAATTGCCGTGGTGATGGTGGTTGCCCCAGCAACGGCGGTTGGCATGGTGACGACGATGGTCGCCATAGTAATAATGGTCGCCATGAAGATCCCGCTTCTGCGCGGCCACGTGATGCGGCGGGGCTGAGTCACGTGACACGAATGCCGACATGGCGGAGGTCCGTGATGGCCTCGTCTCAGAGTACCTGAGCGCGCCACTGCTGCGGGAGCGTGGGGACCGCCTCCTCTTCGACCACCTCTACCGCCTCGCCGCCGCCTACTTCGAGCTCGGAGACTACGAGCGCCTCTCCGGCGTCTACCGCGCGGCCAGCGGTCAGTGGCACTTGTAGGCCTCGGCCGAGCCCTCCCGCGTTGCCTGACTCGCCTGCCGCTCCCCAGGTGCACGGTTCCCGCGGGAGGGATGCGTCCGTGCGCCCCCTCCTCGCGGCTCTCTCGTTCGTATCTCATGTCTGGTCGCTCTCAGCTCTCTCGCATCTTGCCTCTACCCATCGCTTCCCACCCGCCTGCTCCGTCTCATCTCTCCTTTAATTCCCTGCGCACACTCTCCCGGGCCCCCCCCCCATCTTCACCTCTGTTCCCTCTCTTTTCCCGCGCCTCTTCTCGTCCTCGAGAGGCCACGCCGCGCGGATGCAGCGCAACTCTTCGTGTTGCAGAACGGCGCGAGGAAGCCGATACCACAGACGCGCACGGAGCTACCTCCGAGACCTTCTTCAAGTGTCCCGGTGCAGAGAGTAGGATGCGGCACTTTCCAACCTGCCGTGCCGCAGGCGAACGAAAGTTCGTCGCATGACGCCGGTCAACCCGATATTTTAATTCTGAAAAGCAACAACAAATTGATGAGCATGGCCATGATAAATGTTGTGCAATCATTTGTGACCAGGCTGTGACCATCAACTCGCTATGCGAGTCGTTTGACCTCACATTCATGAGCCTCTGGTTCTTTTTGCAAGTCTGTGGGGCCCTCTCTGTAAGTCGCTGGCACCCTGCCTGAGGCCATCCGACTCATTACACTCGCGATCCAAATGAATTCACTGGCAGGGGGAAACCTCAAATGCGAACACGCCGTCTTAGCGGTGCCGGCTTCTGCTCCGCCCTCTGACTTCTTCTAAGTCAGTGAGTGGTTCTCAGCCGGGGGCATGCGGACCCCTGGGAGTACGTGAGGCGATATATATGTGTGGAATTATATCATGCATGAGAGTTATTGGTGAATAATTTAATCACGTATGAATCTGCAACTATAAAATGACTACGATACATTTAAATGCAGTGTTTAAACTAGAACGATGTAAAATACATTTCTAAACAATGTGGTTTTCAGGAGTAATCAATGAGCATGCAGAGCGTTCATTGAATTGTGTTATTCCCTTGCAGTTACTTGGCTGGTTAGGATACCTCACAAAATGGATAATTGGTTAAAATATTGATGTTCATTATTTATACGTTTATTTCTGAGAACCATGTTGGGCCAGGCAAAAGGGGCTACTCCGTTAAAACAGATTTCAACATGGGGGGAGGGGGGACGCTGGGGTAACAGTCGTATCAAAAAAAGTTTGAGAACCACTGCTCGAAGCAGAGCGGGCTTCTCGTCGTCGTCATTGTCGTCTTTGCGGAGTCCTGCTGCTTCAGCTCCACCACGTGTGCGCATGCCGTGCTGGGTGGCGCAGGCGCCCTGCAGTTCCTGCGGGAGGAGCAGCCGAGGCAGGTGCAGTGGAAGTTGATACAGCTCATGGAGATGGTGATGCGGGGACAATTCTTTGGTGAGACGCGCGAGCACTGTTGTAGGTGGTGTTGGTTACTGTGATTATGGTGGCGGAGTGATGGTGCCGGTAGTGGTGATGGATGGTAATCGTAATGATAGATGTTGCTGGTGGCTGGTATTGGATTCAAAACTGAATTTTGAAGATCACATTGGTTATATTGGTAAAAAGACAAAAATAAAAATTGGTTTTCTGTATCGACACAAGCACTGCTTCCCCCCAATGTTCCGTTGGGAATTGATAAAAGCTACCATACTGCCTCTACTTGACTACTGTGACATCGTGTATAAATCAGCCCCAAGTACTGTACTGAAGAAGCTTGATTTCATCTATCACTCGGCCTTAAGATTTACATTGAACTGCCCATATAGGACTCACCACTGTGATCTCTACATTGGGTCAAACTTAACATCTTTTAATGTTCGACGGCTTGTGCACCAGATCTTATTTATTCACGATGTACTTAAAAAAAATCCGCAGACTACCTGCTGGATCTCCTCTCTGTTTCAAAGAAAAAATTTGACCTCAGGTCTTCGCTCATTTACCAGCTTCACATTCCCTATTGCCGTACAAAAACTGGAGGAAGGGCCTTTGCTATTGATGCCCCCAGGGTCTGGAATGCTATTGCCATTAAACTGCAACTTGAATCGCTACCAATGAGATCTTCTCTCAAAACTGCTCTAGAGGAGTTGTACACCCCTAGCTGCCACTGATATTCATTGGCGTAAAATAAAATAAAATGTTTCGCTCCGGATGACGCTGCCAAGTATTATCTGTATTTTGATTTAGCGTGCTGATCTTAAAGGTGCATTGGAAAATTTGATACTCCGACTGATGCTTCTGTTGTTGTGGAGTAACTCAAGCAGCCAGCTATGGCTCTAGGATTTGGTGTTACATGTTATTTATGTAGTTTATTGTAAAAATTCGGTCACAGTCCCTATAATCACTGTTACATTGCAATTATGGCTTTATTTTGTTGGTTATTTCGAAAACGTTTTTTGGTTTGGACATGTTTGTTTTATTGTAGTACGGAGTTAGACTGATGGCCTTAATCTAAGTTTTCTTGTGGTTGTTGTTGTTGTTTGACTTGTATCCCACTGGGATTTTTTGCACACAGCGTTGGTGTACGGTGCTTTTTTTCAGGAATATTTTGCTGTTTTTTTTCATGGATTTTCTGTTTGCACAGTCACATAGTCACTTTAAGATGTTTTCTTGTTCGTATTTTTGTTTTTTTTGTTTGTTGTGGTTGCACCCGACTCAAGAGCCGAATGGCTCATAGGGCTATACCAAAATAAAGGAAACTAAACTAAAAGGATGGTGGTATTGGGGGAGTTGTTGATCGTGATGGGCACTGATGTTAGTGGTGGTAGTGCAAGAACACCTGCGCCTGCTTGAAAACAATCAGGCTGGCCTGCCTTTGATTCTGCCTGGGTTTATTCACATGAGATTGTGTGAGGTGATCACAAAGCATTGAAAGATATGGACTTTTTTTTTTACAGAAGTGAGATCCTCCGGCAAGTGATGTTGCATTTGCTGTGTCATGTAGCCCACATGGTAAACCACTAGTCGACTTTATGATAAAAAAAACAGATAATGGTGCAGCGCTGAAATGTCTTGCTTTTATGCCACTGCTGGCAGAAGGGCCTCCACTGACGGGGCTCTACAGAGGCCCCCCCTAAACAGTATTTTGGCCTACGGTTTTACATTGTTCATCCGCCACGGAACAGGTGGGATCACCTAATCCACTAACTGCTTTGTGCCAATTTGTACTTGTGGGTGGACAGAGGCGTTTAAGAAATGTGTCCATTTGAACTGAAGCGCGATCAAATTGGACCGGTGACGTCTGTGTTAACCACTACACCATGGACCTTTTCTCATACGGTAGGGTGTATCCTAGCATTGCCAGATTGCGGCAACCACTGTATGGGGGGGGGGGGGGGTTGATGGAGAGTAGGGGACGGTCGGCTGAGCGGACGCTTGCTATGTTTTCCGTCGTCAGACCCCGTCCGCGAAGGCAACCAGATGCTGCTGGAAGGGGCCGTGGAGATGGTGGACATGCTGGGCAGGGAGTGTCAGTTGGAGCCCGAGGTCACGCAGGAGGTCACGAGAATACTCAGGCTCAAGGTGCGACCCTCCCCACTGACGGTGGGAGCCTCTAAACATGACCGCAGAAGAAGTTCAGTTCTGTGATGATATTATCATCACAAGGTGGTTCGCTGCTCACTGTGAGAATTTCGGACGGAGATTTGTTTGTCGCATGATGACCTGCCACCGGTAGTGAAGTGAAATTTAATTAGACGGAGGAACAAAAATAAAAGTTTAACTTGTGCAAATAAAATGTGGATGGGAGATGGGAGAGTGGTTTGCTGAGGCCATGTATCCTCATTGCTCATGGGCATGGGAACAGGAACCGGGGTCCTGGGCCCATGCTGGTTCACATGGATGTTGATTGGATGCACAGCTTTGTTACAGGTCTCTGTAGAATCTTTTGGTGCCTTATCGGATGACTGTGTGTCTCAACGATAGGCCTCCGCAAGGCATTACGATGATGCTTAGCTATCTGCTTGTTGAGAATACCAGCTATGGCACTTTGGGCACTCAGCTCCTCGCCTCCCTTGGTTCTCTGAACTAGAGAACCTCGTGGGTGGAGGATGAAAGGGCGATGGTTTGGCCACAGGCTCATGGTTGCATCAGAGCGCCTGCGATTGTCGACACTCAGGAATTAGAAGGGGGCTCACTTGGGCCTTTGCCAGGAGGGACCCTAGGAAGGGGGCTCGTTTGGGGGGCTTGGGGCAAGAGGGACCCTTGGGTTGGTGCTGGACAGTGGATGCTGCTTCGTGGGTATCTTAGAGTTTGTTTGACTTTAGCAGAGCTCCGGTACGTGCGCGTGTGTGCGCTGTGCTTGTGTGCGTGTGGTTACTCGGTCTTCTTTCTTGCTCAGCTCCTGACGGAGGCGCGCGTGCAGGTGCAGCGAAACGAACAGCTCCAGACCGACCTCGTGGACCCTTGGTACTCGCTCGACTTGAAGCCGCATATCTTACGATTCATCGACTCCGTCCCCCAGAGCAGTCAGGCGTCCTCCTATGTTCAGGTGCCGGCCCCGAGCTCTCCGCCAGCTCAGCTTGGTTAACAAAGCGATGTTTCCATCAGGCCCGGCTAAGCTCCTCTTGGGCTGTGCGGCCAGCCAGTATACCGCGAAGGAGAGTAGCCAACTGTGTTAATCGGTTGTGCAGGGAAATCTGAGGTTGGTCTGTTCATTGTATAACCGCTCTTGTCGACTTCCCCAAAGTGGTACTAATTTTATCGACCCTGGAGGGAGGGATGATTGACTGGGTAAACCCCAGACCTGGATTTGAACTCGCAACCTTCTGTTTGTGAGCCGCTCGCTCTTCCGCCAAGGCATCTTTGAGACCAAACACCTCGCACTGCTGTGTGGACAGGAGGAGGAATGTAACACGACTGATGCTGTTGTTTGTGTTGTGTGTTTGGAAACAGCTCCTGAAAGAAAGCCTGCCTCAAGAGACACCTCCAGCTAACAAAACAAATGGGTAGGTGGTGTCCGTGTGTTTGTGACAGGAGTCCTTGGTGTGGCTGTCGAAAGGAGAAGGTGGAGTTGCGAGTGATGCATAAAAACTTTGATCTGGTTAGAGAAATGGAGGCGTTCGAGGAGAGATCGTGAGGCCCAGAGTCACAGCTGCGAGGCAGCAGTGTACTCCGAGAGCCTCTCGGATGTAAAGGCGTTGGTGGGGTCGACAGAGGTGAAGAGGAGGGGCTGTTATCTGCGTAGGAATGGTAATTGACTCCTAAGCCGTCGACGTGGCGACCAGTAGGAGACGTGTAGGCATCGAAAAACAGGGAGCTGAGGACAGCATCCTGAGAGACTCCCGTGTTAGAACATCTGCTGCTGGCCTGTTAAACAAGGCCAAGGGCTTACACTGTTTTTAACATTTTATCTACATAATGACACCTAGCCGATATTAACTATGTTAACCTATTTGTATTTTTTATTTTTAAATTATATCTTAAAGCTATTTTATATTCGATATTTATTCAATTTTATATACTTCAGCCCCTTGGTGTTAGACTTTTAACCCTTATTATAGTAAGACTTGTTTAAAACTTATTTAAGATTTTAGATTCCTATATGTTGAATGTATGCACCATCCTGCCAAACTAAATTCCGTGTCGGTGTGAACTTACATGGCGAATAAAACCCTTTCTGATTCTGATGCTTGCCCGTCCAAGTACCATCGATACTCGACGTCAGCATATAATCCGCATATAATTTGTTTAAACGAATAGCGATTCAAAGCTTGAATCGTGAGCATCAGAATAATGGTTTTAGTGGACGTGTCGATTGAGTGACCGCCGGCTCGTCGCCCGGCACCGGCTGTGGTGGCGTCGTCTGGCGTACCTCCTCCGGTCCGAATGACACCGACCTCTACCCGTGTCCTCGTCCCCACAGCGGTAAATTCCTACACAAGGACCACATCAAGGAGGCCTTCCTGTCCATCGCCGACTGCCGAGAGGACGCGTTCAATACCTTCGAGGTCCTGCTGCTCACCGACGTTCCACCTCTGAGCCTCAAACTCGCCCTGCCGGCCATGGGCGCTGCCGAAAGCTCGCCAGGGTCCGAGCGCCGGGAGGACTCCTCTGTGCCCGAGGGCGCCGCGGCCAATAATTCGGTGGCGCCGGCACGGGTCATCTCTGTGCCGCAGAAACAGTTGTCCCCGGCTAAGAGACTCATGGGGCCCGAGACTCCTCGACATGTTCCTGAGGACAGCCGGGAGGAGAAGGAAAAGGTGGTGGCTCCACTACAGGCGACACCACCATCGCCACCACGGCCACCACCACTATCCCCTCTCCTTTTGAGCGACTCGGAGGAGCTGCTGCCGATGCGGATTGTCCAGAGCAAGCGGAGCGACCAGAGCACAGCTGAGGCGGCGTGCGATGATGCCCACCAGGTCAGAGCCACCACCACGTGCGAGCGTGGGGAGCGGCGGTGTTGTGGTTAGCGCACTGCGCGAGGAACCCGACGACCCGAATTTGATTCCTGTTCACAGCCAACACCGGTGACGATTATTTGAACCGGAACAGGTCTTGGGCCACCCTTAGGTGGCTTCAGCCTTGACCGAGTACCTGGTGTGACGTGTAAACATCAGCACTGCAGTGATAAAGTCGGCAGGGCGTGGTGCTGGTCAACCAACCGCTTTCCTGTTCTGTGCCGGCCTTAATAGATATTCACTAACACCACCTACCGCAACAGTCTGTTACAGGCCATGTCGGTGGGGGTGTTTGTTTTTCATTGTGCACGCGTGAAGATGAGCACCACCGACTTCATCCCCTCCACTTACGAGGAGATACCGCCCACTGCCCCGGCCAAGGATGTCGCGGGTCCCGGCTCAACTCCACCGATTTTGGCGATCATCGGAAGGAAGAGGACGAGGAGCGACAGCCCCAGGGTTGTGGAGGAGGCGGCCGCCACCCCGCGGCTCGTGGAGGATGGCGAAGTTGCGGGGCCCAGCAAACCCAGGGCAGCCACGATCTCGCCAGCGAAGGCGACCTGCGGAAAATGGGACAAAGGTCACGGGCACCCGACGCGCAACCACGTTGAGCGGAACGGCAGGTTTCCTGGCGACGGCTTCAGCTCAGCGGAGATACGGCGGTGAGTGGGGCGTGCCTGGCTCGGTTTAGACCTGAGCTGCAGGACAGGGAGGGGGGTGGGGCTATGTGGAAGGGGGGTGGAGCTAACATGACAGGGGTTGGGACGACAGAACAGGTTGGTGGGACTATAGGGATTTCTTGCAAACTGCTTTTTGTGTTTAGTTTTTGTTGTCCTTCCCCCGCACCTCCGATAATCACGGTTGGCTACGTACGGTGCGAAAGAAGTTCCACATACGTACATACATAAGTGGTAAAGGGCTGTTTATGACCCCACCGCTAAAGTCGTGTCGATTGTGTTGCCCTCTCTGACCCTTGCCCCCCCCGCAGGCTGTCCCCCTTGATGATAAAGGACGAGTGGTCGGATGAGGAGGACTTATTTGGGCCGAGCAAGGGTGAGTGTCGTGCGTGCGACATCGCCACAACCGGTGGAGCAGGGAGTTGGTGCGTGACGTGATGAGTGCCAGCAACACGCGTGCATGTGCACACACGTACACACACGTACACACACGCAAACCTGTTTGCGTGTGTATTCGTGTACGCGCGCCTCAAGACTTTTTCAAGAGGGTGCGGCCAAGTTTTTGCAGTAGCAGGGGAGCATGTTGCTGCTGCTGTGTGTAAAACAATTTGAGAAATGTGCAGGTACATTTTCAACATTGTGATGATGTTTTGGTCAATACCAGTTACATTATTTGCTTGTGGGAGGAAAACAGGAGGCAAACGTACATACTTCAAGCAGCAAGGCACCCGAGTCGGGAATCGAACCCAGGCCTCTCTTGCTGTGAGACACGAACGTTACCGCTGCCGCCCGAAACCAAGGTCTCCCATGTGTGCGTGTGCAGTGGCAGGAAGACAATCCAAATTTGGCTCGTCGGCAAGGAAGAAGGTGAGGGAGGCTTGGGCCCCGAGTGAAGGTTGTTTATCCGCCGCCGCCGTCACCGCCGCCGTCACCGCCGCCGTCACCACCGCCGTCACCATCGCCGTCACCATCACCGTCACCACCACCGTCACCACCGCCGTCACCACCGCCGTCACCACCGCCACCGCGTGGGTTGAGAACGAATTCCCATTGGCCACTGTGGTGGTCGCTTGTGGAGACTTGGGCCCACAGCAGCGACGTGGTCCGGCTCGCCCTCGGCCACACACATGCACAGTCTCCGCCCTTTGTCTCGCCACGCGCCTCCCACTCCCGTCCAGCGTCGACGAGCTGTGGTCTCGGGGTCACTCCGAAGGGCGGCGGGGTCAGGGACGTGTGACAGCGGCGGTGGTTGGGGGGGGGGGTCACACACTCTCATCCTGGAGCCGTGGTCGTGGGAAGTGCGGTTTCACTGCCGCGTTCACCGGGCCGTCCTCGCGGTTAATCCGCGTTAGTGTCACCACCACCCTGATGATGTCAGTCGTAGTGATCATCTTAAGTCATTATCATCATCATTGTTGGACATGGACTATCCACTGCCCCACCAATCCAAGCGACGGCTTGGGTTGGGGGGGTCCTTCAGTGTAGCAGTTGACATTTTATTTTTTCCCCCCTTTATTTATTTCTCCACGTTTACCCAGCAGCAGAGGAAGATGATGAGGTGCATGCTGGGCAATGCAGTTGAGAGATAGAAAGAGGAACATGGAGCGTGGAAAACAAACGGAGGTTGTAGGCATCATCGTGTTGACTGCGGGGTAATTATTGGTCCAATTAATATCGAATTCGACAGCTTAAGCGGTATGATAATAATTTGTAATATTTCACTGCTGGATAAGTACTTCCCCAGGCCGTGTCGAGTCGTGGGGGGTGTTTGACCATACTTCACCATGCTGGTCAGTGTAGTTCTGTCAAGCGGGAGGATGGGGTGGGATAGTGGTGGGGGAAACGGTTAAATTATCACCACTGATGTTAGTTGTCGGTCCCTGTGTGCTTGTCTCCTCCCGGTGTCCTCTTGTCCCCAGTGTCTACATCTCACTCATGTCCCCATCTCTCCTCCTTGTCCCCATGTTCCCATCTCACCCCGTCCCTGCCTCCCCGCGTGTGTCTCTGCATCTCCGCGTCTCGGGTAGAAGATGTGGACAGAGACGGAGACACAGTGTCTGAAAGAGGGTGTCGCAAGGTTCGGCGTGGGAAACTGGAGCAAGATCAAGCGGCACTACTCCCTGAGCCGCACCGCCGTGCAGCTCAAGGACCGCTGGAGGAACATCTCCAAGTAGGGGGGCAGCACTGGGCAAGTGGGCAGCACAAAGTTCCTACAAACATAGGTTGGAGGGCATTTGGGCTTAAAAACTAAACTATAAAACTGTTTTTTATTTGACCAGGTAAGGGGTGTACTGAGCTATTTAGCTCTTTTTCAAAAGCGTCCTGGCTATCACAAATGGTAGCTCATCGAAGTGGCTTATCATGTGGAAAATTAGAGCACCCAAGTACTCTAAACGCGTGATGTTGATTCTAAATGTGGAGTGGAAAACCGGAGGACCCGGAGAAAAATCCACGCGACCATGAGGAGAGAGACACGCAAACTCCAAACAATCAGGCGTCAGGGTGGGGATCGGACCCACGGCCTCCTGCATACCAGCCGAGGAAGTTAACATCTCGCTACTGTGGCTTAGGTGGGGAGGGGGAGCCACGTGGGCCACGGCGTCTGGGCTGGGAAGATCACGCCGGGCATCGGCGGGCGACGTAGCATCTCCGGGCGAAAGCGTGCGCCGTCGCGAGGAGCGGCCGTGAGGGAACGCGCAGAGGGCCCGACGGTTCGCAGCGCGGCCCCCGCGGCTCGTCGGTGCAGGAAAACCCCTCGACGCAATGCGACGGGCAACCAACAAAGTCTCCTATGGCTGCCGTGGACAGGGGGACAGTCCGAGAGACGATCGTCGTCACTGCTGAAAAGTGTTTTTGATATGGGAACGGCTGGCACCCACGTGTCCATTGGCGTGCATTCCTCTCCCTGGCACTTCCTGCCACAATGCAGCACTCTGCTGGGAGCAGTGAGGGGGGGGGTCTCAGGACAGCTACCCGCGCTGGAGTGCGCAGGACACCGCCGCCCCCACCTCCCTCCATATTGGCGGGGAGAGCGCCCACTTGTCTTCTCTGTGCCCAGCCGCGGGCATGGAATTCACAGCGCCACCTTCCGACCCTCTGGAGTTTGTTTTTTGACAATCAGGAATGGATGCCGTGGGTCCCTGGCGCTTCACTTGGGAGAGAATGAGCGTGCGAGACGATGGCATTCAACGTTGGTTGGTAAATTAAGTTGTCGGTCTAGTTTGTGTCGTGACGTCGCCGTCGCTACTGCGAGGCAGTCCGTGTTGCATTGCAGTGGCGTCTGGTGTGTGTAGTGTCTGTGGTGTATGTGGTGTGTGTGTGGTGTGTGTGTGTGGTGTGTGGCCAGGTAAACACGCACGGGGTGACGTGAAGACGCTGCCACGAAAGACACTCGCACAATTTCATTACAATGGGTTTTGTCAAAAGACACACGGTCGACCCTTGGGGGTTGGGAATCATAACTCCCCTTACCCGCCCCCCCGGACCCTCCCCTTCTTCCCTGGATGTTGTGGTTTTACATTCGAGATCTTGGTTTCCTTAGGCCCTAATTTTTGAATGTTTGTCTTTTTCTTCAAATAAATCTTGGCTGTTCTGTCAGTTTGTTCTGCTGGCGTCACGTGCTGAGATGAAGGATTCACTTGGATGTCTTCGCAGAGCAGTGCTAAGAGAATGTAACCTGCGGAAGTGGATATCATCGAGCTACAGCTGAGATCCATTCAAGTGACCTGCTCTGAATTAGTCCAGGCCTGAAGAGTCCTCTTCCTTTCTGAGGGTCCGATTCGGACTCTCAAATGGCATACAAAGTCAGAGTGATCTCCTGCTGCTGAAATGAACATGGAGGCATTAGTGCTCATCTTCTGTTTATACCACTGAGCTTGTGGAAATTCCACGTTCATATGGCGGGGCGAGTATATCCAGAGGATAACGGCTGTTGACTTCCCAAAATATTGGAACTTATTTTATCTGACCCACCCCCACCATCCAGGATTTGAACTCGCAACCTTCGTATTGCGAGCTGCTCACTCTGCTGATGAGCCACCTGATGGGCAAAGATAGAGATCCCCCGTGTAGCCTTACCAGACTGTTGGTGCTGTTAGCGAGTCACACCTATGAAAATCGGCACGGCGCACGAGGAGTTGGGTGGTGATGTTTTCTGCACACTGCTCACATTTCCGCACGCGTCGGGCACAGGAGGAACGTCGTACGTGCAGAGTCGGGGTCGCCGTGATGTCATGTTCCACGATATGCTATTAAACGTGACGATACGACTTATGATATCCGTTTCCCACAACTGTCTCCTTGCATTTCAGGATTTGTTTTTGTGCGTTTATGCATTTCTAGTGCGGCAGGGCGGTGGTGGTGACAGAGTGGTAATACTCAGGACTCACAGCAAGCAGGGCCTGGGTTCAATTCCTGACTCTGGCATCTTTCTGCGTGGAGTTTGTACATTCTCCCCCTGGTCTGCAGTATGAGTATGTGGAGTCTGTTCTCTCCCCTGGTCTGCAGTATGAGTGTGTGGAGTCTGTATGTTCTCTCCCCTGGTCTGCAGTATGAGTGTGTGGAGTCTGTATGATCTCTCCCCTGGTCTGCAGTATGAGTGTGGAGAGTCTGTATGTTCTCTCCCCTGGTCTGCAGTATGAGTGTGTTGAGTCTGTATGTTCTCTCCCCTGGTCTGCAGTATGAGTGTGGAGTCTGTATGATCTCCCCTGGTCTGCAGTATGAGTGTGTGGAGTCTGTATGTGCTCCCCTGGTCTGCAGTATGAGTGTGTGGAGTCTGTATGTTCTCTCCCCTGGTCTGCAGTATGAGTGTGTGGAGTCTGTATGATCTCCCCTGATCTGCAGTATGAGTGTGTGGAGTCTGTATGTTCTCCCCTGGTCTGCTTAATGAGTGTGTGGAGTCTGTATGATCTCCCCTGGTCTGCTTAATGAGTGTGTGGAGTCTGTATGATCTCCCCTGGTCTGCAGTATGAGTGTGTGGAGTCTGTATGTTCTCTCCCCTGGTCTGCAGTATGAGTGTGTGGAGTCTGTATGATCTCCCCTGATCTGCAGTATGAGTGTGTGGAGTCTGTATGATCTTCCCTGATCTGCAGTATGAGTGTGTGGAGTCTGTATGATCTCCCCTGATCTGCAGTATGAGTGTGTGGAGTCTGTATGATCTCCCCTGATCTGCAGTATGAGTGTGGAGTCTGTATGTGCTCCCCTGATCTGTAGTATGAGTGTGTGGAGTCTGTATGACCTCCCCTGGTCTGCAGAATGAGTGTGGAGTCTGTATGTTCTCTCTCCTGGTCTGCGTGTTTCCTCCAGTTCTCCCCGTAATTTCCCATAGCTAAAACAATAACCTACTTACAATGTAGCCGTGGTATTGGTCAACTAAATCATCCCAACGCTGTTAAATGACACCTACTAATCACTCAGCTGGCAGTACACGTTCTCCCATCGAAACTTCCCACGAGTACGTGTAATCATTGCAACTTTACAATCTACGTCTTTAATATCCGTGCTGTCGGTGACGCAAAATGTAATGAGTTAATTACGGATATGACCATCGTGCTGTTAATTTGTAAGACATTTGAAATAGTACATATTTTGCAAAGCGCCACAGTTAATGGTTAAAATCGCTATATTTTTAAAGCGCGGATTTTGCGCGTAAAAGTGAATAATTATCTACATTTCATACGTTTCATGTCAGAATGTTAAATCTTTGTCGAAAAATGCAACGCGCAATTATGGTCACGGTAGTTCGACAACTTTTTGTAAAGCAGTCGATGTGCGATTATCGTGGATCGTATATCGTGGACCGATTATCGTGGATCGATGATCGTGGATCGTATATCGTGGACCGATTATCGCGGATCGTATATCGTGGACCGATTATCGTGGATCGTATATCGCCTCGACCCCAATACGTACACCATGCACACTTAACACAGATCCCCCGTGTAGCCTCAACGGACTGTAGGGGCAAGTGCTGTTCTTCGGCACCTATGAAGACCGGCACGGCGCAGGAGGGGGCGAGTGGGCCAGCGCAACGCCCGACCGCCTTTGTCTCCCCAGTGGCGATGTTAACACATCGCACCATGTACTCATTTGAGGCCGAGTCGACCTAGGGGAAGCCCAGGACCGGTTCAGATAATCGTCACTGGGGTTGGCCGTTAACGGGAATCGAACTTGGGTTACCGGGTTCGAAGTGGAGCGCTGCGCTAACCACAACACTACCGCTCCCCACGCATCACAACATCACTTATACCTTCACACCACCACACCATCACACATACACCCCTATGCATCACACACCATCACCCCCCCCCCCCCCCATGCATCACAACCCCCATGCATCACAAACCATCACACACCATCACACACCATCACACACCATCACCCCCCCATGCATCACACACCATCACACACCATCACCCCCCCATGCATCACACACCATCACCCCCCCCCCCATGCATCACACACCATCACACACCATCACCCCCCCATGCATCACACACCATCACCCCCCCCCCCCCCATGCATCACACACCATCACACACCATCACCCCCCCAGTGCATCACACACCATCACACACCATCACCCCCCCCCCCCCCCCCCAGTGCATCACACACCATCACCCCCCCCCCCATGCATCACACACCATCACACACCATCACCCCCCCATGCATCACACACCATCACACACCATCACCCCCCCATGCATCACACGCCATCACACACCATCACACCATCACCCCCCATGCATCACACACCATCACACCATAACCCCCCATGCATCACACACCATCACACACCATCACCCCCCCATGCATCACACGCCATCACACACCATCACCCCCCCCCCCCAATGCATCACACACCATCACACACCATCACACACCATCACCCCCCCATGCATCACACGCCATCACACACCATCACCCCCCCCCCCCCATGCATCACACACCATCACCCCCCCCCCATGCATCACACACCATCACACACCATCACCCCCCCAATGCATCACACACCATCACACACCATCACCCCCCCATGCATCACACGCCATCACACACCATCACCCCCCCCATGCATCACACACCATCACACACCATCACACACCATCACACCATCACACACCATCACCCCCCCCCCCCCATGCATCACACGCCATCACACACCATCACACACCATCACCCCCCCCATGCATCACACACCATCACACACCATCACCCCCCCCCCCCCCAATGCATCACACACCATCACACACCATCACCCCCCCATGCATCACACGCCATCACACACCATCACCACCCCCCCCTTCATGCATCACACACCATCACACACCATCACACACCATCACCCCCCCCTCCCATACATCACACACCATCACACACCATCACCCCCCCTCCCATACATCACACACCATCACACACCATCACACACCATCACCCCCCCCCCCCATGCATCACACACCATCACACACCATCACCCCCCCTCCCATACATCACACACCATCACACACCATCACCACCCCTCCCATACATCACACACCATCACACACCATCACACACCATCACCCCCCCTCCCATACATCACACACCATCACACACCATCACCCCCCCTCCCATACATCACACACCATCACACCCCCATGCATCACACGCCATCACACACCATCACCCCATGCATCACACACCATCACCCTCCCCCATGCATCACACACCATCACACACCATCACCCCCCCCAATGCATCACACACCATCACACACCATCACCCCCCCATGCATCACACGCCATCACACACCATCACCCCCCCATGCATCACACACCATCACACACCATCACACACCATCACCCCCCCATGCATCACACGCCATCACACACCATCACACACCATCACACACCATCACCCCCCCCCCCCCATGCATCACACACCATCACACACCATCACCCCCCCCCAATGCATCACACACCATCACACACCATCACCCCCCCATGCATCACACACCATCACACACCATCACCCCCCCCATGCATCACACACCATCACCCCCCCCATGCATCACACACCATCACACACCATCACCCCCCCCCCCCCAATGCATCACACACCATCACACACCATCACCCCCCCATGCATCACACGCCATCACACACCATCACCACCCCCCCCCCCATGCATCACACACCATCACACACCATCACCCCCCCTCCCATACATCACACACCATCACACACCATCACCCCCCCTCCCATACATCACACACCATCACACACCATCACACACCATCACCCCCCCCAATGCATCACACACCATCACACACCATCACCCCCCCCTCCCATACATCACACACCATCACCACCCCTCCCATACATCACACACCATCACACACCATCACACACCATCACCCCCCCTCCCATCCATCACACACCATCACACACCATCACCCCCCCTCCCATACATCACACACCATCACCCCCCCTCCCATACATCACACACCATCACACACCATCACACACCATCACCCCCCCTCCCATACATCACACACCATCACACACCATCACCCCCCTCCCATACATCACACACCATCACACGCCATCACACGCCATCACACACCATCACCCCCCCCCCCTCCCATACATCACACACCATCACACGCCATCACACACCATCACACACCATCACCCCCCCTCCCATACATCACACACCATCACACGCCATCACACACCATCACACACCATCACCCCCCCTCCCATACATCACACACCATCACACGCCATCACACACCATCACCCCCCCCCCCCTCACATACATCACACACCATCACACGCCATCACACACCATCACACACCATCACCCCCCCTCCCATACATCACACACCATCACACGCCATCACACACCATCACACACCATCACCCCCCCTCCCATACATCACACACCATCACACACCATCACACACCATCACCATCGCGCACGCGCGGCGCTCTCATCTCGCGTGGCCAATGAGCGGAGGCGACGGCGGCGTCAGCAATGGGGGGGGGGGGCTGGGAGCTGGGGGGCTGGGGGGGGGCGAGACGGAGGAACGGCGGCAGAGGGCAGAGGAGGAGGAGGAAGAAGCCGGGCGAGGAGTGGAGAGAGGAGCAGGGACGGCGACTAGCGGAGAATCGAGGGATCAACGGGCAGGGAGCAGCGACGGGGAGGGAGGAAGAGGGAGGGAGGAAGAGGGAGGGAAGAGAGGAACAGCGATAGAGGGGGGGGGGGGGGAGCGAAGACGAGGAGAGAACGGAGAATCGAGGGGATCAAGGAGGAGGAGGAGGGAGCAGAGAGGAGGAGGGAGCAGAGAGGAGGAGGGAGCAGAGGGGAGGAGGGAGCAGAGGGGAGGAGGGAGCAGAGGGGACGAGGGGATCAGAGACCGACGAAGAGGAAAGAGAGCGGAGACTCGAGGGGATCAGCGAGGTGGGGGAGCAGGCGGAGGAGAGAACGGGGAGGGCGAGGGAAGAGGAGGAGGGGAAGCAGGGAGGGGGGAGACGGACGCGGGGGACCACGCTCGCTGAGAACAAGCCGGGCGACTCCCGGCAGCGTCGCGCGCCCCTGCAGGAAGGAGCCCCGCGAGCCCCTGCAGGAAGGAGCCCCGCGAGCCCCTGCAGGAAGGAGCCCCGCGGACACCCCTGCAGGAAGGAGCCCCGCGGAGCCCCGCGAGCCCCTGCAGGAAGGAGCCCCGTGGAGCCCCGCGAGCCCCGCGCCGCCCGGCCCCGAGCGAGGTCCGTCCCGGCCCCCCCCCCGAAGCGCCGCGTCCATTGCTCGGTACCCGTCGGGAGCGCGCGGCATTGTGAGCGCTCCAATGTGTTGTGTGTGTGTGTGCCAATGTATTGTTGTTGTGTGTGCCGATGTGTTGTTGTGTATGTGTGCCAATGTGTTGTTGTTGTTGTGTGTGTGTGTCAATGTGTTGTTGTTGTGTGTGCCAATGTGTTGTTGTGTATGTGTGTGTGTGCCAATGTGTTGTTGTTGTTGTTGTGTGTGTGTCAATGTGTTGTTGTTGTGTGTGTCAATGTGTTGTTGTGTGTGTGTGTGTCAATGTGTTGTTGTTGTGTGTCAATGTGTTGTTGTTGTGTGTGTGTCAATGTGTTGTTGTTGTGTGTGTGTGTCAATGTGTTGTTGTTGTGTGTGTGTGTCAATGTGTTGTTGTTGTGTGTCAATGTGTTGTTGTTGTGTGTGTGTGCCAATGTGTTATTGTTGTTGTGTGTGTCATTGTGTTGTTGTTGTGTGTGCCAATATGTTGTTGTTGTGTGTGCCAATGTGTTGTTGTTGTTGTGTGTGTGTGCCAATGTGTTGTTGTTGTTGTGTGTGTGTGTCAATGTGTTGTTGTGTGTGTGTGTCAATGTGTTGTTGTTGTGTGTGTGTGTCAATGTGTTGTTGTTGTGTGTGTGTGTGTCAATGCGTTGTTGTTGTGTGTGTGTCAATGTGTTGTTGTGTGTGTGTGTCAATGTGTTGTTGTTGTGTGTGTCAATGTGTTGTTGTTGTTGTGTGTGTCAATGTGTTGTTGTGTGTGTGTGTGCCAATGTGTTGTTGTTGCTGTGTGTGTGTCAATGTGTTGTTGTGTGTGTGTGTGTGCCAATGTGTTGTTGTTGTGTGTGTGTGTCAATGTGTTGTTGTTATTGTTGTGTGTGTGTGTCAATGTGTTGTTGTTGTGTGTGTGTCAATGTGTTGTTGTTGTTGGTGTGTGTGTCAATGTGTTGTTGTTGTTGTTGTGTGTGCCAATGTGTTGTTGTTGTTGTGTGTGTGTGTGTGTCAATGTGTTGTTGTTGCTGTGTGTGTGTCAATGTGTTGTTGTTGCTGTGTGTGTGTCAATGTGTTGTTGTTGTGTGTGTGTGTCAATGTCTTTTTGTTGTTGTGTGTGTGTGTCAATGTGTTGTTGTTGTGTGTGTGCCAATGTGTTGTTGCGTGTGTGTGCCAATGTGTTGTTGTGTGTGTGTGCCAATGTGTTGTTGTGTGTGTGTGTGCCAATGTGTTGTTGTGTGTGTGTGTGTGCCAATGGGTTGTTGTGTGTGTGTGTGCCAATGGGTTGTTGTGTGTGTGTGTGTGCCAATGGGTTGTTGTGTGTGTGTGTGCCAATGGGTTGTTGTGTGTGTGCCAATGGGTTGTTGTGTGTGTGTGCCAATGTATTGTTGTTGTGTGTGCAAATGTGTTGTTGTGTGTGTGTCAATGTGTTGCTGTTGTTGTGTGTGCCAATGTGTTGTTGCGTGTGTGTGTCAATGTGTTGTTGTGTGTGTGCCAATGTGTTGTTGTTGTATGTGTGTGTCATTGTGTTGTTGTTGTGTGTGTGTCAATGTGTTGTTGTTGTGTGTCATTGTGTTGTTGTTGTGTGTGTGTCATTGTGTTGTTGTTGTGTGTGTGTGTCATTGTGTTGTTGTTGTGTGTGTGTGTCAATGTGTTGTTGTTGTGTATGTGCGCGCGCGCGTTCTGTGTGTGTATGGGGAGCGGTAGCGCAGTGGTTTGCGCCCTGCGCTTTGAATGAACCCGGAGTCCCGAGCTTCGAAATTCCATTCGCTACCAACACGAACAATGTCTGAATATATCTCAGTCCATCCTGGGTCTCACCTAGGTCGACTAGACCCGAAATGAGTAAGAGGATTCCGGGTGTAAACATCAGCATTGGGGAGACAAAGACGGCCGGGCGTGGTGCTGGCCACCCACCCCCTCGTGTCTCCTGCCGGCCTTCATAGGTGCTCGCTAACAGCACTTGCCCCAACAGTCTGTTGAAGGCTACAGGGGTGATCTTTGTCTTTGTATGAACGTGTGTGTCGCTAACAGCACTCACACAACAGCCCGGGCTGTCTATATGGGGGATCTTTGTCTTTGTTGTTGTCGTGTGTGTGTGTGTAAAGGCGTTGTGTGTAAATGCATGTGAATGTATTTGTGTGGGGAGCGGTGGCGCTGCGGTTAGCGTTACGCTGTGCTACGAACCCCCCGCGTCCAGAGTTCGATTCCCGCTCACGATCAACGCCGAGTGACGATGATCGAAAACCGGTCCTGGCCCTCCGCTAGATCGACTCAACCTCAAATGAGTAATCTAGTGCGATGTGTAAATCATCGCCACGAGGGAGACAAAGGCGGCCGGGCGTGGTGTTGGCTGGTCACCCACCCCCTCGTGTGCCGTGCCGGCCTTCAAAGGTGCTCGCTAACAGCACTTGCCCCAAGTCTCTTCAAGGCTATACGGGGAATCTTTGTCTTTGTGTGTGGGGGGCGGGGGTGAAGGGGGGGCTAGTGGGCAATTCCATGAGCACACGATTGTTCATGCACGCGTGTGCCTGCGTGTGTCATTACGTGTGTCATTACGTGTGTCATGACGTGTGTCGTTACGTGTGTCGTTACGTGTGTCATTACGTGTGTCATGACGTGTGTCATTACGTGTGTCATTACGTGTGTCATGACGTGTATCATTACGTGTGTCATTACGTGTGTCATTACGTGTGTCATGACGTGTGTCATTACGTGTGTCATGACGTGTGTCGTTACGTGTGTCATTACGTGTGTCATGACGTGTGTCATTACGTGTGTCATGACGTGTGTCATGACGTGTGTCGTTACGTGTGTCGTTACGTGTGTCATGACGTGTGTCATTACGTGTGTCATTACGTGTGTCATGACGTGTGTCGTTACGTGTGTCATTACGTGTGTCATGACGTGTGTCATGACGTGTGTCGTTACGTGTGTCATGACGTGTGTCATGACGTGTGTCGTTACGACTGTCAAGTGTGCAGGCGGTGCAATTGCACCGGAGAAGGTTGCGGGGGGGGGGGGGGGGGGGGCGATCTGTGCGCTTTGGTGTGCACGTGCGAGTCTATTCGCCTTTGTATATCCGCGTGTGTGTGTACACGTGCGTGTGCATGTACGCGTGTGTGTGTGCACGCGTGTGTTGTACATGTGTGTGTACGCGTGTGTGTGTACGCGCATGTGCACGTGTGTGTGTGCACGTGTGTGTGTGCATGCGTGTGTGTGTACGCGTGTGTGCGCGTGTGTGCATGTGTGTGTGTGCACGTGTGTGTGTGTGCACGCGTGTGTGTGTGCACGCGTGTGTGTGTGCACGCGTGTGTGTGTGTGCACGTGTGTGTGCACGCGTGTGTGTGTGTGCACGCGTGTGTGCACGCGTGTGTGTGTGTGCACGCGTGTGTGTGCACGCGTGTGTGTGCACGTGTGTGTGCACGCGTGTGTGTGCACGCGTGTGTGTGCACTTGTGTGCACGTGTGTACTATATGAGGATGTTGTGGTCGGAGGAAGCGGCTCCCTGCACTGTATGTGTGTGGCTTTGCGTGTGTACGTGTGTGTGTGTACGTGTGTGTGTGTGTACGTGTGTGTGTGTGTACGTGTGTGTGTGGCAAAACAACCCCCTACCTCCTCGCGGTGCCGGACAGGCAATCCTGTCGTGGACAGTGCTGTGGGGGGAGGTCCAATTCCGATTGGCTCCTCCCCTCATGGCGTCTGTGTCCACCACAGTGGCTAAACGGGGGCTCTGGATGGGTGCGAGGGGCTGGTAACCCCTCCACCTTCAATTAATTACCACTAAACCACAAGTTAAACTGAAATATGTAACTAATAAGCTTTTGCCGGAGGCCCCGGGGGGACAGGCGTCTATGACGTCTCCTGGCCAAACCCCAATTTGCGGAGCCAGGAGATTGAATCTCTACCCTCGGGGCTCCTTCAGAAACAACAAAAAGCCACTACAGATGGCCACGTGGAATGTTCGAACACTCACTGCGGAGGAGAGGCTGCCACTCCTCTGTCGGGAGCTGGACCGGTACCGCCTGGATCTCTGTGGCATTCAGGAGGTCCGGTGGACCGGTTGTGGCTCCTGCCACCATGAGGGGTGGACAGTCCTCGACTCAGGGCAGCAGACTGCCAAACAACAGGGTGTGGCTCTTCTTTTGAACAAAAGAATGAAGGGGGCGTGGGAGCGTGGCGGTGAGGTGTGGGAAGCTGTAAGCCCCAGGCTACTTTGGGCTCGCCTTCCCATCAACCGGAGGCGAAGAGTGGTGGTCGTGGTTACTTATGCCCCCACCGAAGACGAACATCTGTGGAGGGATGCAGGCAAAGCCGATGAGTCAGATGCCTTCTATGACCTCCTGTCACAGGTGCTGGCTAAAGTGGCACCTCAGGATAGAGTCATCATGTTGGGTGACTTCAATGCCCGAGTTGGTCATGATGCTGGCACCTGGTCTGGAGTGATTGGAGGGCATGGGCCAGATCAGCTCAATAACAACGGTAGGAGGCTGCTAGATTTTTGTGCAGCCCATGGGCTTGTAATTACCAACACGGTGTTCCGGCATGGCGCATCCACACAACATCATGGATGCATGCCGGGTCCAAGAAAGAACATCTGCTGGACTACATAGTGACGGACCAGCGGATGCGAGCCCATGTCCTTGACACCAGGACCTACCGTGGAGCTGATCTGCCCTCTGACCATCGACTAGTCATCTGTAAGATGCGCCTGCCATTCTTCCACTCCGGTGGTGGGTGTACACCCAGGACCCCATTCCAACCTAAAGTGGCCTGGTCTCAGTTATCTGCTGAAAGTTGCAAGCGAGAATTTCATCATCACTTGCGGCTGAGATTGGCATCGTCCCCGACTCCTCCTGATGTCGAGGGTAAATGGGCGAGGTTTAGGACTGTGACTTATGCAGCTGCAATGGCTGCTTTGGGTATGCGGTCCAGACCTCCCCAGAGACCCTGGCTGACAGAGGAGGAGTTCAGGATGGTTGAG